GAAAAATAGTATCAAGACAATATCAATATACACACATAATCTATGATGTTAAAATCACTAGACATAGGAAAAATAAATGTGTAAAAATATAAATATAATATATGTAGGCAGAAAGTTAACACTAAAGTTAACAGATGTTGAAAAAATCCATAAATATTCTGCAGCTAAATGACAAAAACATATATTCAATATCAAATATCAGTGCACAAAAGGTATCCGCTTACATCATAGCTTCCCAGTTTAGACATGGGGGGATTATCTCCTGGTACAGCAGAAAAGCAGAAGGATAAATAATTATGGCAATGAGCCCTGACTAGTATTTCTCTCAGGTTTTTAGCACAAATTGATTTATTATTGAACAAATGACCTGTGGAAGGGTCACCAGATAAAATATGCCAATATTTACTGATACTTCTTTGTAACTGTTAAGATAAAGGAGAAAATGTGGTGGCAAACACCACACTTTTGAGCCCCTCCTTGAGAGACATTTAGGTGTCAATAAGTTGCTGCTCTCTATGTTTTTGACTCTCTTTCAGATAGAGTCAGGTCTCTTAAAGCTGTAACCTCTAATGGTTACAAATATCTCAGGCTTGTTCTTCAAAGGCTTTTTTGTATATTATGCTTGTGTCTTTTTCTTTTTTATGTTATGATTGGCACAGTTTTGCTTTCTTGGAGGCGTTTTTCTTTACAGATGTTATTCATTAAGTAATTATTACTTATTATTAACTAATAGCATTATTACTTAATGCTAAGTTATAGCATTAAGTAATAAGGCACTACTTTTTGATTGGTCAAGGAATCTAAGCTGGCTTTTAAGGGAAGTATTATCCAATAAATACTGTACAAACTTCAGTATCTAATTAATAAAGGGAAATATAACAAAGTAGCTCTGTAGCAGAGAATAGGATAAGTCAGAGATTGAATGTGCAGGAAACTCTTATTAAAATGAGTTCTTATAGGATGTGTCAACATTAACCAATAATATAAAGTCAGTTTTTTAATATTTGAATATCTATTTATGCTTATAAACTGATGTTTTGGAGGAATACATTTTTATTTTTATTAAAAGAAATGTTTGTTTAAATGTCAACTTTTTGATAATAATGTGCTTTTAACACCTTCATACATACATTACTTTGGCTGAGGGTCAGTAGATCAGTCTTCACTCGTCTTTATTTTATTTGTATGCTTTTCAGGGAAGTGAACGTCCACTGTGGAATCCTCAACAATCACAACCTGATTCGGGATTCACATCCAGCTTCAGAATCTGGCCTCTGACTGACCAAGAAGAACTGAAAAGACAGGTAGGAATCAGAAGCATGCACAAACCTTTGGCTTTACTGGTTTGATGTCAAACGTCACAGACAGCTTGTTTGTCTCTGCAGCGCCAGTCTCAGTTCCTGATGCACCGCCGCCTGGCCATGAACATCGAGAGAGAGCAAGTGAAGGAGAACAAGCAGCACAGGAAGCACCTGAAACAGACAGCAAGGTGAAGAGAGGACAGGCGTACCATGCTGTATCGCTTCCTCTTGTGGTTTGGGGTGTTCCATTAAAGTGAATCTAAATCCTGAGATCTCTCTATAAAGTGTCAAACAGCAGATCTCTCTAACATGACACATTTTCACAGTAGAGGAAATAAAAACATTTGTTTTCTTAATTGAACAGTGAGCTTGCTTGGAATACAATAGATATCCAAAGTCATTTAAAAAAAAACCTCCTTTAAACTTGAATTACATGTTATTGTCAGTGAAAATCTCCTTTCGTGTGTTCCTGTCTTCACTGAAGGATCAAAGCAGAGAAAGAACAGATGCGTCTGGAGGAGGAGAGGAAGCTGGAGAGAGTTCAACAGCTCGCAGAGGCCAAGCAGAAGCTGGAGGAGAGGGAGCTGCTGATTCTGGAGCGACTAAAGCTTGAGGAGGAGGAGAGAGCTGTGGAGTTACAGAGGAGGAAAAGAGAGGAGAAAGGCAAAGTAGCTGCTAGGTAATTAAGCAAGAGAGACTCAACTGAATATACCTAATGCAATTAAAACAGGAAAATCCACTGATGTTTAAATGTGGAAGTCTGTTTGCAGTCATTGGAGAGTGCTACTTGATTTTTATTTAAGGCTAGATTTTGTAGCCTCCAATAGGATAACAGATGTAAACCTGCTGCAAACCTATTTGAGAGACGGGGGGTCTATAGGGTTAATTTTCATTTTCTGCCACTCATCTGGAGTCGCATATTATTTCTCCCAATCAGTGTTTTCTGCCTCTTCCTGGCTAGAGTCTGGTCCATTTCCAGGTCCAGTGAGATGTGGTGTATAATCAATCAAGACATTTTTGTATATTGACAAGTGATCAGTAGGGGAAGGGGAGAATGTGAAGTCATCTCTATGGGGTGAAGAGTTAAATTTTACTTTCTAATTGTTTTTGTGTTGTTAGAAATAAAATGAGCTTGACTGTAGCTGTGACTTCAGTAATAAATATATAATAAAATTGATCACATTTTAAGTCCCAGTTACACAAATGGGAAAAGTGATACCCCCTGTTTGTAAGTATGACCCTCACAAACCACTGTTTAAAAAAATGTATGCATGGCTTTGTGAAGCTGAACCTCTCCTTATTATTTCTGCAGGTTCATTGAAGCTCTGAGAGCTCAAATGAAGGAGCGAATGTCTCAGGTGAAACTGGAGCTCCCTCCTCTCTGCTGCTGTGCGTCCTCGTTCTGGGACTCCCACCCCGACACCTGCGCTAACAACTGTGTTTTCTACAATAATCCCAAAGGTGAGGAATTCACACGCAACCATCTGCTTGCATACTGAGCTTCAATCCAACTACATGAAAACATTTTTTTGTTCTGCAGTGTATGCCCAGGCCCTACATTCAGCATTGGCGAGTTTGGATTTGCAGTAAAAGGAAGCTGATGTCTGGCTGAAGGTCCGGTCTCAGATTTTGGAAAATCTTGTGTACGTTTTCTAGCCTACGTTCAGATCAGTGCTCTCGCTTAGCACTGAGGAGTCCAGGACATGTTGAGCCTCCACAATAGAAGAGATTTATATGTTTCAGTTTATTGTTGTCTTCCAGAAATAAAATCATACGTTTCACGTAGCTCTAAGGAGGGAATCCAGAATGATGCTTTTACTCTGAAATATCTCAATGTTTTAAAGATGATTTGGTGCACAGATTGTTTTCTAAATGAGCAATAACAAACATGATGTTTCTCTTTGCCTTTGACTCCTGTCTTTGCCTGTTGCGTTATTATCGGATCATCTTCACTTTCCCCAGATCTTTGATTTTAATACTTGGAAAACTGATCATGTTTTCACTGAACAGTCAGATTCCTATATTTATTCTGCTGGTTGTGAAGAATGACATGGAGTATAAAATTTCCTTTTGAACTCTTTTCCTTTGTTTAATTATTGCTTATTAAAGCTGACAGAAATTTGCTTTGATTTATTTATTGGTAATGAAGGAATTTGTGCAGTGTCTTACTCTGTGTATGTAGTTTTAATGGCGGTAGTTAATGTGCTGAGTAAGCAACTAAACTTGAAAATGTCCTTGTGAGGATTTGCTGTTTGTTGTGTGGGTCAAGAGTCACGTTGACCTGTTTTAGGACTCCATTTAACAAATAACACTTCTGTTATGTTTTTTTTTGTTTTTGTTTTTTTTAATAAATGTCACTTTCTGTGGTAAATACAAATTGTGAAATGGTGTGGTCTGCTTTTAAAAATTGTATTCCTTTTTATGATTTTGTGACTGATGCACATTTATATGTTTTAAAATGGTGATAGTTATTTACACTTTTATTATTTTTAACATCAGCTCCAGTTATTTTTGTTACATTGTAGTTACATAGTTGTGTAGCTCATTCACTGGCAAAATATCAGACTCACTGGCCCTTTTGTTAGGTCACCCATTCAGTTGCTTGTTACATCCTTTAATTTTCCAATCACATGGCAGCAGCTCAATGTATTTGGGCTTGTAGACATGGTCAAAACAACCTGCTTAAGTTCAAATTGAGGACCAGAATGGGGAAGAAAGGTGATTTAAGTGACTTAACATGGCATGGTTGCTGATGCCTGACTGGCTGAACTTTATATTTTAGAAACTGCTGATCTGCTAGGATATTCCCTCACAATCTCAGGAAATTACAACAAAACAGGTAAACCAAAAATGATCGATAGAAGATTGGAAAAGTGTTGCCCATAAGGTCCCGTTAGGCTTTAACATGTTTTTCATTAGTACGGACTCGGATCACCTTCGCCACGACTGGACTGATTTTCCTTATTACAATGGAGTAACTTCCAATGTGTTGGGTAGTTGTCATAGCAACGCGTCCTAGCGTCCCGCGACGTAATTAGTATGCGACACGAACGCTGGACGTCCAGGGAAGAATATACCAGCGCTCGGTCTGTGTCATCAGACTCAGAGGACCACGGCAATTTTTTTGTAACCATTTCCCTCTGCTTGCTCGGGGTTCCAGATGCAAGGTGCAAATAATTAAATGAATGTACATTTTAGATTTAAATGAGTGTAAATGAGGAGATGCTGAGCTGGGCAACACATTGCATATCATAGTTTACTGATTTACTCATTAACTGTTTGCTGACGATTAAATTGTGAACCGATTGGAATAAGAAGCGAAACTTGAATATTTTACGCCTCTTTTTAAATAATTTGATCAATACTTTTAGTTTTTAATGTCCAACTTTAAACTAATTTAAATTAATAAAAAACTAATAATACAATGAATAAAATATTTAATAATAAAGGCTTTAATCAAGGCTATTTCTTTAAAATAACTGCACTGGCATGTACCCAGAGGGGATACCTGCAGAGCACCCAGGTGGTCAGAAGGACTTTGATCTGAAGTGTAACATTTTAAAGAGCCTAACACGTGCTTTTCAGATACTTTTAATTCTGTTGCATTTTAACTTGAATTGAAATACCTCCACTTTGAGCAGTCCCACCCACTGTCCAACCCCGTTTAGACAAAACAAAGGTCTTTGAATCGCCTACGTTACGTCACGCATATGCGCATGCATAGGGGCTGGTGGACAGGCTGTCGCCGGGAGGCTGGAAAATCTTATGGAAAACCAAACCAACATTGGAGTATTAATAGCAGCGGTGTCTTACACTTGTATCACAGCGTTTAAGAGGCAGGCCGCCGGCTCTTCTGACTGCGTACTTGAAGTATAAAAGCCGGTCATTATGGAGCATTGCTGGAGATTGACGGCGGGTACCTCCCAACAGGAGCTGCTTTATAGCTCCCGTAGCTACCCCATGTGAGCCTCTATTTTAGCAGGCGCACATGTCTTTTTTTATTTTGTGGTACTGCATAAGTTAGCCTCTGTTTTCATCCAGGGTTAGTCAGCTCTCTGCGTTTATTCATCTGTACCTGCTCAACATCCGTCTGCTTCCAAGAAGACATATGTCCGGGACCCACTACTGAGAGTCTGTTTCTCACAATATTTAAAATAATTCAATGAAAATGAAGTCGTCTCTGGCTCCTGGGATAAGACTTATCACCAACTTTTCTCGGGATAGTTGGTAAGTTTCCATTCTTTTTGTCCTCTTGGCGCACACGCAGCCCTGTAATGGAGATTGCTGCTTTCTTATCTCTGCTAAATGATTGATATCTCTGTTAGATGATTGACTCAAACTAGTCGATAAACCGTCAGAATGTGAACTGTTCTGGGACCAGTAAATCCAGAGACATTATCATGTAACCAGCTATTGTTTTAAATGTCTCAGTTCCTGTTATAAACGTATTACTACTTCTTGTTTTCATCGGGTTTTCTGTACCAGGGTGTTGTGCCAAAAAGTGATTGTCTGCCAAAAAGTGATTTCCGGTATTTGCCAAAAACTGATTGCTCGTATTTAAACTGCTATAAGTAACTTGTTGGGCTATAATATGTGAAACATATGTCAAATGCATCCCTCATGGATGACATAAAGTCATCTTGAGCCACAAACAACATTCGTGTAACAAGGTAGAAGCCGCAATCAGTTTTTGGCAGTGACTTTTATATAACCTTTATTTATGCAGTTAAAAAATCTCATTAACATTAAAAATGTCTTTTGTAAGAGTAAGTTGGCCAAGAGGACAGCAGACATGGCAGCAAATATTACAATATTTCTGTAAAAATATTTTAAGTGGGGGTAGTGGACCGGATTGGTTTTAATGTAAGTACAATAGCAGAGAGTTGTAAAGATACTTGAAAAACAGATATTGTTTTAATTCTCTATATAACCCCTTTGTAAACCCTATTCACCGAAGTCTATTTACGAACGTACGTAAAGATATTACACATAAAAAATACACAGAAACATTGGAAATCACTTTTTGGCAGACAATCACTTTTTGGCACAACAGGCACGTCTGGTTTCCCCTGTGCGAATCTAGAATCCCACCAAACTCCATTAAAAAAATTGACATTTTAAGAGGTGGCCGGCCACAGTTTCCAGTGTCGACCACTGGATTATTTTGCAATAACCGAAAACTGTCGAAAGGGATTTATACCTCCAGATTTATCAGCAAATAAAGTGTCAGTAAAGAGCCATTCCATTATATTTCCTGCTTTTCTAAATCTGACTGAATATAGAAAATACAAATTTTTCTTAAGACAACTCAGGCTCCTCAGGTATGTTTTGTAAATGCAGGTAACCAGTTTTTGCTGGTTACCAAGCTGGAAAACTGCAAGCCACCAAAAAGTTACAAATTGCACAGATTTTATGGAATACAATGAAAAAACTAAAAAAGGAACTGCGGCTGCAGTAAAGACTGAAACTAACTGGGTGAATCTTGAAGAGAGTTTTCATCGGTGAGTCTCATGAGGATTGTGTAGCTCAGAATGAGTCGGACCAGTCTGATAGATGGATCCCCACCAAAAGAAAAGCCAGCAACTGGGAAAAAAGCATCTTTAAATTCTTAAAATGTTTGAGGAAAGGAGAGTACACGAGAGTAGGAAGAGTATCATGTGACTCAACTTCAGTTTCCCTTTATTTCAGTTTCATATACTTTGAGAAGGTCACATTGAAATTATTAAAGCAAATGATTGAATTATTGACCCACATTGTGCTGGACAAACAAAATGTTTGTCTCACACACAGTTTGTTATTAACAAAGGATGTGCCCTTAACTACTCCCGCCATATCTGCTTGGAACACTCTTGCAGTGGTTTGCCATGATAATAACGCCGGAATATGAAAACCATTCAATGACCTGAATGTACAGCATAGTATAAATTTCTCCAAAAACAAAGATCAAACTAAATAATCAAATGATGATAATAAGACAAAACCGAATGTTTCATAAACAATGATGATGATGATAGTTAGTGTTGATGTTTGTTTACGACCTTTTGCAAGCATTTTTGTATGCACAGTCTTCACCATTATTTATCAATTCAGACAAATGTGCGTCTTATTTGTGTTTGTCCTGATTCCTGATTCTTTAAACACACCTTCGTACTGTATCTCTCAAATTCCAAACACTTTAGGTGAAATCACTGGACTAAAAGAACTTTAGGTTCACATTCCTTTTGAAAAGATAAACAGACAGATAAACTTTCAAGGGTCATAAACCAAATAAAAGTAGGCTTTGAATTATTTAACACTCTTGCATCTCAAATTAGCACCTTACACTCCAAGTATAATGTGAGCACTGAGAATACTTTTTCCACCTATTAACTTGTGTTGTTTAGCCAGCATGGAAACAGCTGATCTGTGAGTTTGTTACCCAAACAAATATTTCTACGTCAGTGGAAAGTTTTACTGTTTTGTGTCATGTGTTTGTGCTGGAGGCATTTTAATTGGTGTCACTGCATGATTAATAAGCATGCCTTAGTTATTCTCTTTGTAGGTTTATTTTTATTATTCTGTTTTGATATTTTGAATAATAAAGATAATTTGATTGTCATTTTTTAATGATTTTGGTTCTAATGTGTCTGTTTTTGCAGGTATCGTGGTTTTATTCTCATCCTCACCTTCCTGTTCTACACAGCCTATCACTTGTCACGGAAACCTATCAGCATTGTTAAGGTGACTGGAACAGTTGAATTTCTTTTTATGAACACTATTAACAGTGTTTTTGCAGGATCAAATGCTCTCTAGAAGGACAGAACATGTCTTTCTTGTCTTGTACTTTTTACCCTCAAAAATGGATAAAATCTTTACCTTAACACTGCTCACTCAGGCCATTTGTTATCTCCTTACAGATATATTGATTAAATCTAATTTCTAACATTCAATCTTTAGCTTGTCACAAGATCAGGGAGACAACAGAAGATACGCTCTTTTAAGAAAATAACTTTATCTACATATAACTCAGACACAGCCACAATTAAAGGTATTCGTGTCTTTACAAATTCATAGAAATTAACAGCTGAAGCACAAAAGCTGGTAGAAAAGCAAACGACTCTAAAGGACGTCTGCTGAATATGCTAAAGGGATTTTTCTTGTTGTTTCAATCAAAGATAGTCAAGCAACAATTGAAAGTGTTTGCATGACACAACAATGGTCTGCAAATGAAGGCTTTTAAAGTCAAATACTGTAAAAGCCCCTCATTGTTTAAATTACAAAGTATTCATGAAGTGGTCATAAAACAATCATAGGCTGTGATCCTGTCACCCTGAGAGCTGCAGTGTGTTGTTTGTGGTAATAGTGGTATCCTGGCATATTCTTATACTGTATCTTTATACATTTATACACCTATAGAAGATACATTTTTTAAATCTTTGGCTCTTCATTTGCTTGTGTCAACTACTGTTTTAGTCATTTCAATTGGTTTCTTTCCACGTTCTTCTCTCGCACTCAGAGTGAACTGCACAGAAACTGCTCCAACGTCATTCAGCCAAAAGACATTAATATAACCAATAATGTTACCTGGTGTGATTGGCCACCCTTTGGTAAGTCCTTTAATTGCTGTCATTAATGCTCACTTTGGAAACACAACTTCTAGTAGATGAGATTTTGGACAATTGCAGCTCTCAGAAAGTTTCAGTTTACCAAATTATTACTACACATGATTTATCAGTTGGTTAGGTGTTTGCAGTGGAAAAAGTGGCGTATGCATGGATAGGAGGAGCTGCTGTGGTGAAGCAGCTTCTTGAAGCTCTGAAACTCAAAAAAAAACAAGGAAAAGGGAGACTTTGTTTGTCGTCTGTAGTACCCCAGAAATTCCAAGTATGTTGATGCATGATTACCTACTGCGAAGGACATGCTGTACACTGATAACTAAATAGTTTGTAGTGTGGGTGTAGATTTTCTCTGAGACTGGAGGCCACATTATAGAGGTGTTCAAGTAAATTTTACACCTTTTCTAGATCATTTTATGATGAAAACTTTAAAATCAGCCACTATGAGATACTACAAAATGAACTGGTGGTTTTGCTCTGGTTTTATATTTGTGTTTTTATATTTTTTTTATATTAGAGTTTTTGGTTAAAGTCCACCAGCTGCTGTTGACTCACGTATAGTTGTCTTTACTTGTTGGCATTAGTATTATAGGTCATTTAAACCACATACACAGCTACACTGTGGCCAGAAGTTGAGGTTAATAGATGAAATCTGCAGTACCTGGAACTTTTTGGGGAAGAGTCTGGTGGAGAGTTAAGCTTAGTGCTCTAAATCCATAGAGGCTGCACTGTCGTGGCCAAGGTTGTTTGTGTTTGTGCTTGTGAGCTGCTGTGAAACTGAGCTGATCATGTGAGACCTGCTGCTGATAAATATTTAACTTTTAGTTCATGTTACAGAAACGCAGAAAAGAGATAAGTGTTTGAAGCTGCACTGGAAGAATACTGGCTATAAGATAGATACAATTACATCTTCTACAACAGAGAATTACCACCAGTTGCACTTGTCATAGTTCCTGTGCTCTGTGGTTACTTTTCTGGCAAGTTTGAAAGCAACTAAATTACAGGGGTTATATTAAAAGGGTCCTACTATCATTCCTTCCTCTTTGTCAAGCAACTTTAAGTCTGGGGTTAAGTTTTCAGCTTGAATCTAGTCCAGCTGTGATCGTGTGAGAGCCTGTAATAGGTTAATAGTCCATCATATGGTCAGACCAGAGAGCCAGACAACTCTGTGTTCACAGACGTCCCACCCATCAGTTCATTCAAAACATTTTTTTGCAAATAAACCAATCAGAAGAAAGTTGACAAAAAGGGGACCGCTAAAGATAGAAGAGCTATTAATAATATTAATTAGGCATATATTATGATGTTGTTTAGCAACAACCTAACAACAGACTAGGTTCACTGACCAAACAACATTGTAGCATAGGCATGTGGTACTAAGATAAACAAGAATTATTTTATTGATGACAGGAATACAATGAGGAGCTGGGAATGAGATTAACAGGTCCAGAACTCTGCTGCAGTTTTTTGTGTGTGTGAGCCGTACTAATTGACGAAGACCTCACAAAATTATATGCACCGATGTGGAGAAAAGTAACAGTTTTCTCTGTTTTCTTGTTAAAGACCAGGACAACTATCAGACACTGTTTGGGGTCTTGGATAACTGCTTTCTGGTTGCTTATGCCATCGGGATGTTTTTCAGGTTTGTATTTGCTGTTTTTGGCTGACCTTGTTGTGTTTTTGTCTGAGAGGGCATGTGCTGCACTGAATAATAATCATCTCTCATGTTCTCAGTGGGATATTTGGTGAGCGTCTCCCTCTGCGGTACTACCTGAGTATTGGGATGTTGATGAGTGGGTTGTTCACATGTCTGTTTGGCCTCGGTTTCTACTGGAACATCCACTCACTGGGGTACTACGCCTTCGTCCAGGTAAAGAAACAAATCCACAAACCTTTAATTTACTTTCTGATTCATGTATCCTGTTCTCTTTTATTATTTCAATTGTGGGGCATATGACTGTGATATCATTTATAAATAAGAGCTGAAATGTGAGCTCATCAGCCACACATTAGCTGATTTAGGTTGCTAGCATGAAAGTGGTGGTTTCGTTAGCCACACAGTTGAGAAAGTAAATCGGTAAATGTCCTGTAATTGTTTTAATGTTAAAAATCCACTATTAGACAAAAACAGGGGAAGAGAGTGTAGAAACATTTTGACACTTTCTTGATTTAAAAAATTAAAGGAGTGAGTTTGACTTTTTGCTCTCACCTGACTGAGCAGTTAAAACACTGAGCCTGCCCTGACTGAACTAAACTGAAATTATAGACTCTCTTTGAAGCTGATTAATCTAACACTTGGACACAAATGAAAAGCAAAGTGCGGTTTTACACGATTTAACTTCATCTTTACTGAACAGCAGCCAGCTGCAGTGACCGTGGAGAACTTCCGTGGAGCTATCAGCTATCAGTGCTCCTTCAGAGACACAAACCCAGATGGAGATGCTGCATAAATACACTGTGTTTACAGTTCAATTTGTGACATAAAGTAAAGTTTAGCTGTTGTATTAGTCTAAGAGAGAAAGTAGCTTTTATCTTATGTTGCACAAGCCTTTTGTTTACATTTCTAAACGGATTGTCTTTGAATCTCTTTCTCTGCTGAGAATGAGGAAACTTTGATTTGCTATAAACAAAATTGTGTCCATTTCGGGAACAACTGCAGCATACAAAAAAAACTGCATTAGGTGGAAAAAATAAGGGAAGTGCAGTGATCAGATGAGCTGTCTCTTGCTGACCTCAGGTTTTACTGATCGCTGAGGTCTGTAGAAATGTTTTCTCTCACTCAGTGCCTCGTCTTAAACACAGGCGCTGTCAGAAAAGTGTTATTTCACTTCAGGGCTTTTTTCACGCCTTTTGACCACTAATAATAACACGCCAATGGGTTGGATTAGCTCAGAAACAAGTGAAAAAATTAGCTTCAGCCACAGCTTAGGCTAGTTGCCTTCCCATAAATTAGGGATGCCAGTAATGAGACTATTTATTCTGTTTTTTAAGTCTTTAAATTGAAACCTCAGCTTAAAAAAACCTGGAGATATTTGATTTATATATATATATAAAAAGCAGAAAAGCTGCACACCCTTGTCTTTGTCATGAGTTTGTCCGCCTATAAATGCAGGAAAATATTTATTTATTTAATTTTTCTGACCTTTGTGCAGTTGCCAGATTGCAGTATTGTTTTACACCTCTCAAGTATCACATGAGCTTCACACGTGTCACATGACCAGCAGTCAAATTCCATCAGCACTTCTCAGGAAAGCATGGAAAATTAATCAATCAATAAATAAAGTTAAAATTAATAAAGTTAATTTTTAATAAAAATAGGATCCATTCAATAAATGGACAATGAGTTTATTCTAAGGTCTTTACCTCAAAATTAAATTGAATTGAGTTTGTAAGAAAAAAAAGGCGTCTATGGCAATAGAGAAATTGAAATCTGTGACCGGAAGTATTTAAAAAACTGGGTCAACAGTATTTATTTCATTTATGATCCTGTTTATTTTAACCTGTTAACATGTGCACTTTAGGTATGGATATTGAGCATCTCTTACAGGCGTGACCACTGAGACCTCTGCAGGTCAGTGCAGAGCTCTCTTAGCAGCTTTTCCACTTGAACGTGCACAGAGCACATGGTGGCTTAGTCACTCTTAGATCTCACTTATCACATGACTCGCAGCTGCATCACATGACTGCACATGCAGAGCTTTGCTTATATCAGTTTGGTGTAGGAATGTTCTTCTTTTCCTCTTCATGCGGAGTTTACAGGGTTTCACGAAGAACATTAACACAGTCCAGGTTCTTTTTCTGTTTCATTCTGCAGGTCATGAACGGGCTGGTGCAGACCACCGGTTGGCCAGCAGTGGTGGCTTGTGTTGGCAACTGGTTTGGAAAGGGGAAGTAAGTAGTGGGGGAGAATTCATGCTGAATGTGCATTAGAAATTGCTTTTTCCCCTTCTTTTTTCTTTCTTTTTTTGATGGCAGCAGAATGAAACACAAGCACATTGTCAAACCAGGCTTGGTTGTAGGTCAGACGACACTCACATCATAAATTAAAGTTATGAGCCTGAACAACTGGTTCTCACTGAAGTAGAACTACAAGCACAGCAAGCAGACAGACATATTAAGAATATATAATTGGCTCTAAAAATACACTAAAGAAAGGGGCAGGGAACAGAAAAAAGAACAATATTTATAGTAACAGTCACATGTCTGTCAGTGTTTGCACTGCTGCTATTGATTATGTCCACCTCAGCCAGTCAAAGAAGTTAGGTTACACTAAAAAGAAGATTGCATGTGTACATAGGTGATGAGTATTGACAAGATCTAATTGACTGCCATTATCAGTTCCGCTTTTAGGTTGGATTCTCGAGCAGTTCCCTTATTAACTCCTCATCAATTCTGAGTGCAAAACTATTGATATCTTTGAGTCTGAACACGGTGTCCAGTTCAAAATAAGCTTTTATGTGACTTAGGTGTGCAAAAGCTGTCATAAGTTTGCTGGAGTCTTTGTGTTAGGGGAATTGCTGTAAACCTGCCTTTACCTGACATATGTAATCATATGTCAGGTGCAACATATTTATATGATAAAGAAAAGCATCAGGAGTAAATATGAGGCCCTTACATATGAAATTTTAACTTCAACAGATAACAGGACTGTTCTCTTTTTCATTCATCTCGATAATTTTGCTTGTCACTGCTTTGATCTTTGCTCATACTGAGGCTCCCGGCTTGTGGCTGGCTGAACTGTGGATAGCTTTAGCTTGAGACATTTTTCCCATGTAACGTGGCTACATGACTACAAACTATTTAACAATATAAACCTGGATATTTATGGACATAAAAAACAAAAACATCTGTTACCAGTTTCTGGCAGATGACTGCTTTTTAACACAAAACTGATCCCTAACCTGTCACTCAACTCAAATACGAGGATTTTGACAGAGTAAACTTGTCGAAAAATCACCATATTTGAGAATTGAAACTCATCATTTTACTGTCATTCTATTAATTTCTCAATGACTCCCCTCAGCTTACAAGTAGAGGCACCTCTGCAGCTTTGTATCGACCATAATGATTTTTTTACTCCAAAGAAAATCTCAATATGAAGTTTCAGGCAGACATGTCAGTTGGAACTAATTTAGCAGATTGACAGATCTGGAGTGGAGAGATAACCTGTGTGAACCGCTGCATCTGGAAGTCCTGCACAGGCGGTGCATGAGAATGACATACATCATGTTTCAGAACTGGATATTGAATAATCTAGCACCGGCACAAAAATCCTGCAAAGTTCACCAAATGTCAATTTCACCAGGTTTTTTCTGGCCATATCAACAAACATTTTAAGTTTTTTTTTTTTACCTTAATCAAAACGTGAGAGAAAATGGACATCATGCTTATTAGTCAGTTAAACAATCAGCATGTTCATTCATATGTACATTTGTAATCTGGCTAAGCCTGTTTTCCTGCCTCCCAGTGGTCATGCTAAGATATGTTAACCATTGTCTGGGTCCTGCAAATCTCTTGTGCTCCTGGATTCAGAGTATCAGAGAGCACAAGAAATGATTGTGAATCATCACAGCACACACGCTCTCTCAGATAAAAAGGCAACAAGGTCAACCAAAAAAAAGCACACACAAACCTGGAAAACACCCTGATGGCTTTATCCAAGACCCTGCACAGTGTCTGATAGTTCTAGAGAAACAGGAAACAGATAAAACTCTTTCTTTTCTCCCTTTTTAATTTATAACGTTTATAAATGTGTGTTTTTACTGGCCTTCCACTCACAAAAGCGGTGACAGCTGACACACACGTGACAGTTTTAGGCCTTAATTTGTGGCTCGCAGACATTATTTATACATTTGCCACATTGTTTACATGTATAACAGAAGCAAAGCATAGTAGGCCCCATTTAAACCCCAGTAGTGATCTCTGTTTTAATGAACCAGAGCCCTAATTAAGTTCTTGCCTACTTTTTACTTCCCCAAATGTCTTCAGTGCATAAAACAACATAAAGGCATGCTGACAAGCTTCAAAACTCCAGCTCAGCATTCATGAATCCATTTTGTAAAACTGACTTTCAGCAGGAGAACTTCTCGTGACCTTCTCTGTTTTGATTGCCAGGCGTGGCTTCATCATGGGTGTGTGGAACTCCCACACCTCAGTGGGAAACATCCTGGGCTCCCTCATTGCGGGAGTCTTCGTCTCCACGGCCTGGGGATTATCCTTCATCGTCCCCGGAATCATCATCGCCTGCACTGGGATCCTGTGCTTCTTCTTCCTGGTTGAGAGTGAGTTTCCGTTTGTCAGACAAAATCCAAAATACTTCCCCAAAGTGAGCTTTAAGATTTAATGTCTCCCATCCCATTTCGTCCGTTCTCTTTTCAGAACCTGAAGACGTGAACTGCTCATCTCCTCAGCATCATGTAAGTTACAAAAGCAACGCATCCTTTCCCCTCTTTCCATGAAAAAGTCTGCTTGAGCTGTTTATTTGTGTGTCAGAGTGGTCAGGAGAGGAGTCAGGAGGGTGGTGAGACGGCGCCTCTCTTGCGGGACTCATCCATTGTTCATCCATCCATCAATGGAGCCGTCTCCACTGAGCCAGACGTGATTGTTGAGGAGCACAGCGAGGCCATCAGCTTCCTCGGAGCGCTGCGCATACCTGTGAGTGGAAATGGCACCTTTAATCACAGAAATGTGATTGATTGGCTTTGAATGTGCAGATATTTGTGCCATATTTTACAGTAAAAATTTCCCATCACGCTGAGTTTAACTCAAGGGTTGAAAATTGCTAACTTTGGCACCACCTAGTGGCTAATTAAAAATATCACTCCAAACAAACGTTATAAAAACTATTTTAAAGTTTCTTTAACAATGAAAAATATTCACAAATTGTTTTTATATTTATATTATTAAAGTTGAGGTTGTCAGACTGTTTTTGTCACAGCTGTCTGGCTTAACTGGTCACTTAAATGAAAAGGAGCCGTTATCAATGTTATTAACGAGACTTTTGTTTCTTCGAAAGTCACAAACCCACGCGGCTCCTGTGAAAACGGCTCTGTGTGTTTATCCTGTTAAAGATGGGAGGGACAGTGACTGGTCGTTTAATCTCATTGTTATGTTTACTTTGCTGATAATGAGACTGTTGCCTAGTAACAAATAAGACACATTTTACACAACAATTAGAGACCAATTCATGCGTCACTTATTATCACCTTTACTTCACTCACTTTGACTTGATCACTCCCGTGATGATGATCGTTTTTGCTGTTAAGCGATTACCTCTTCCAACCAATCAGCAGCGAGCAACTTATCCGCCAGACAGTACGGAGAGCGCTGCAGAAGTCGCCTGGGGGCACTTAACGCTTTTTCTTTTTTTTTTTCTTCAACTGTCAAAGAAACAGTTGATTTTTCCAGTCAGTGTTTATTATGACTTTAGGAAAGAACCTTATGAGAAACAATTACTTTCCCATAAATATGCCTGTCACAAAGACCCGCCTTCCTGGAGGTTTCTGCTGGAAACAGCAATGATTCTGTTGGAATAACGTTAAATGTGAATCAAAGATAATGATTAGGAATTTACGTGAGTATATCTTAGGAAAATTAAGACAAAATAAGAGTTATAAAGTTGCAGTTTAACTGCAACTCTATAAATTTCGCCAGTGCAAATAGTCCTGATCAAAAACAAGTTATAACTCTTTTCCACTCTTCAGTATGCCTGGTTAACAAACACTACCAGTGGGTTTTATTATTATTGATAACATGGTGAATTTCTGCTGTTTGTTACTGTTAAACTGTTTCTATGAGTCACCTCTTTCTTTGTGATCAGCTATTCATCAGTGGTATGAAGACAGGTTTGCATGAACAGGTCCTGAGCAGTGAATGAGTTAAGCATAGATACATGGATACACATTAAATACATTATCGGTACCTGTGTTCATGTATATCTCCTAGGGAACTAGGAGAAACCATAGTCATCTGCAATCATATGTGCACTTAAAAAAAAGGTTGTTTTTTTTAATCACCTCAAATTGTTCTATGCATGGGGAAAGGCCCATGCAGGTGAGAAGGTCTAAGAAATTCAGAACCCATGATGTGACTCACAGTCATTTCCCAATGACTTTGAATAAACTGGAATTAAGTGATGTCCTCACTGTGGGTTCATGAGAAAGAGTCAGAGCTGTTTTGAAAACCGTGCATGGATTTGACACGCAACTCTGCTCCTGTCATTGTATTAGAAGGGGAGGGTGTTTGATTTCCACCTGTGTTGCATCTCTCTGATGGTTAACGGTGAATTACAGGATGACAGACACTTTAAGTTGCTTCTGGGGTTTTTTCATGATGTTTTCTGTCTCTCAGGGCGTGGTGGAGTTCTCGCTCTGTCTGCTTTTTGCCAAACTGGTCAGCTACACCTTCCTCTACTGGCTTCCTCTCTACATCTCAAATGTTGGTCAGTATTTACACACATCATTTTACTATTAAGATAACCTAATGATCAGTTCACGTGATTTAAAGCAGTTTTTAGAGTTAATGCATTTGTTTTGTTTTTGTTTTTTAGCACATTTTGAGGCAAAAGAAGCAGGAGATATGTCGACATTATTTGATGTCGGAGGAATCTTGGGTAAGCTTTGAGTCTTGTTTGATTTGTAAAATCACTCAGTCAGTTCAGTTTTTGTCAGAAATAAATATGCAGAACATGATGCAAAAATGCATCTTTGCAGTGTGACTGTGTCACATACGGCTGTGTGACAGGCGGGATTTGGACCCAAATGCAGAAAATAAACTCAAGACTTTAGCTTTATTCCTGTAACCCTAAAGGAATGCTGAAAGTAAAAATGTTTGCACAATAGGAAACCAAAATATCAGATATATCATGAAACACAGGAGAAGGAGGTGCAGAGCATTGAGGAACGACATGAGGAAGGGCAAAGGGAGAACTGGGGTTATAAATAAACACAAGATAATAAGGAAGATCAGAAACACCTGGGAACACAGCTGGTACAAATCTGGGATACAAGACTAGGAAAGGAAAACTGAATGTTAAACACATGAGACAAAGGTTACGAAAAAGCAAGACAGGGATACCTAACACAGAGACAGATGGTCAGATATGGTACAGGGAAACATGAGGGAGACCTGAAGACCAAACTCTGAGTACAAACAACAACAGCTGTAACGGGGAATAAATACAAGTGAAATATACAAAGGTGAAAACTATGCAGTAAGTAAAAATATAATAAATATATAATACATATATAGTTATTTTAAACTAATTATAAACAATTATAAGTAGTGATATCTTAGTCTTCTGTAGAAACAAAGATCTTTAAAATTAAAACTAAAAACTTTTTTGAACACTTGTTTTTAATGAATTCTTAATATTAAAATCTCCCAATTTTATGCAGTCAAAATCTTCACTTTTAACCTTTAAATAACCTTGAATTAACCTTTAAATTTGTGCAGTTTTTACTATTCAAAGTATAATATATCGCATAATATCCATGCTCAGTGATAGCGATAGAAGAAAAGGATTCTGAATTTAGGCAAGATTTCAGGTTGTGAGGTTTGAGTGGGTGGCGACGGTGAGGTAGATGTGAAGTTTTTCAGCTGTGAACATTTCATGCAGGTATCTCCTGCTCTTAAACAGTTATGGGGGTTCAACAATTGTGGAAAAAATAAGACAACTTAAAAGGTGTCAAATTTTCAACCGGCCCGTATAATTCAAGAGACCGTAACTCTGAAAATATTTGTAGGAAGATGGAAAAACTTGACTGAACTGTCTTTGTGTCTGCAGGAGGCATCTTGGCAGGCCTTGTGTCTGACTACACTGGGGGGAGGGCGTCGACGTGCTGCGTCATGCTGGTTGTTGCTGCCCCCATGGTGAGTGTCACCTCTTATATTAGATTAATAATACGATTGTGGAGCAGTGAAAATGGACGGGGGTGGGAGGGTGGCTGGTGTAAACTTGATTTTTAAAAATCCAAGAGGTCTACAACACTTTCATTTAAATAACTAACACTTGTCATGGTTAGAGGCTTCTGCATACAAGCCTTAATCATGGGTGAAAAACCTCAAATTTATTAAATGCATCTTGCTAGTACTGGGTTGGACCCTCTTTTACCTCTAGAACTGCATTAATTCTTCATGGCATCGATTGAACAAGGTGCTGGAAACACTCATCTGAGATTTAGGTCCATATTGAGACGACAGCCTCACACAGTTTCTGTAGGATGTGACTTTCCCGTTCCACCAGATCCCAAAGGTGCTCGATTGGATTGAGATCTGGTCACTGTGGAGGCTATTTGAGCACAGTGAGCTCATTCTTATGTTCAAGAAACTGTTTGAAGTTGTTAAAAACAAGTGTAAAAAGTTCAAATAAGTTTTCAGAAAGTTCAAGTTTTTTTTTTACAGAAGATCACTCAGTGTGTGGGAGGTGTGACTAAAGCAACACTGTGATGTCACGCTTCATGAAAAATCAACACCCAGTCTAAGAGTGCTGTTTAAAAAGGATAGGTGTATATGTATTACGCTTTTGATACTCCTTATGATCATGTGGTGACAATAAAGAAAAAAACATGGATTATCTTCAGCTTTATAGTTGAGGGAGCGTCGTTGTTGTCCACTGGCACCAGATTTGTTCCATTCAAAATAAGAACAACTCACTGAAATATGGAAACAGACAGTATATATACAGACAGTATATTCTGCTGTTCACAAAAGTCAATCACAAGTGTGTGTTGGTGTTTTTGCCTTTTTTGTGTTCATGCAATTTTTTTGTAACATCTAGTAAAGAAAAACAAAAAAAAAAACAGAGAAATTAATTTAGTTGCAGCTTATATGTAAAACTGGATCAAAGTTAAGTGTTATTTTGGCTCCATGTTAGTGTAACCACAATAAGGTAATTTTACCAAAAAAACACAAATAGAAGAAATGATAATTGATCTCAGACACTGTAACATTGAATGCAAAGCCAGTGTTATTCATAGCATGGACTTGCAGATGGAGCACTGCTATAAATGTCGACCACAGTTTTTGACCAGTTCAAATCATAAAAAACAGAAAAAAAAATTTGATAAGGAGATTTAAGTGTTTTGTTTTTGTCTTTGTTTTTTTTTCCAAATCTGCTGGTTTTAACTAATAATGACACAGAAACATCCTGAGCAGCATTGTTAACGCCTGCTCCAAAAGCAGGGTGATTTCTCTCACTGGGGTAAAAATTATTAATCATTTTGACCATTTTTTTTTTTTGACCAGTTTTGTCATCCGAGTTCAGGAAGCTTCTCTCAGTCAAAGTGTATTTAATGTTTTTGACAGGATGATATTTCACACTGATGTGAGAGAGGTTTCTGGCTGTAATAATTGTCACCCATGTGCAGATTTTCCACAATTAGTTGATTGGCTGATTATTTGTTTTGCTCTCTTCTCAGCTTTTCCTCTATAATAACATTGGGCAGAGGAGCCTCGGTACTACAATCGGTAAGACTTCTTTATTTTGTCATTTTTAACTTTGATACTAATCACATTAAAAACACCTTGTTGTTAAAATGTTTACTCAAATTACATTCTTGTATAATGTTTAAGAGTTTATGACACAATATTATGGAGTGTATGTAGCGTATGGTCATGATTGTAAACTGGTCACTTTGCCAAAATCAAAGTAAAATTCAAGAATGTGACGGAAAGAGGAGACAGGAAGTATTGCACAGTAAAGCATTTTTGATAATCAAGATGTCTGGAAATTGATCACAAGATGCAAGATTTCATTGATTTATTGATCATGTTTTCAGTAGAAAGAAAGATTTCAGAGTTATTAATTCATTATTTGAGCATAGATAACTCACAGATTCTTTACATTTGCTTACATTGACTTGAACTTAGCTCGAACTGAAAATAGATTAGATAGACTTGTTGTGGATTCAGCCCTCACTTATACTTTTTCTTTCTGTGTAGGTATGCTGTTATTGTGTGGAGCCCTGGTGAATGGACCTTATGCTCTTATCACAACTGCTGTATCTGCTGACCTGGTAAGGTCTAAGGCATCATGGGAAATCCTTTGCTTTACTTAAAAATGTCTCCGCCATTGGCATAATGATGCTTCCGTTGCCACAGGGGACACACGAGAGTCTGAAAGGAAACGCCAGGGCGCTGTCGACAGTGACCGCAATTATTGATGGGACAGGATCAATAGGTATGCATATCATGACTAAACGTTAAAAAATCTTGAGCTTAACTCTTTCATCTGTAATTATCATAATAACTAAGGAACAAACGAGTTGGTTAAGTCAGCAGAGGATTTTAAGTCTCTTTTGTCTCAAAAAAAGCCCAAAATCCTCCAGATGTCACCTGTTCAGCACCAAACTGCAGACAGGTAAAGTTAGCACCCATCTGTTGATCATGGTGGAACCATTTAGCCTTTAAAAGTGTTTGTATTGCCCTCAGGAGTTGGTGGACACTAAAAATAGAGCTTACATCTTACTGTTAGTTTGTTTGCCCATGAACTCCTCCTGTGTGAACAGGAGATGAGAAACGAAACCCGACACGCAGGTACATCTTATTCCCCTCAAGGTTTTTTTCTATATCCGATGTTATTATGACGTCATCAGGTTGCCCAGCAACCACTTGCCAATGAGGTAGACATTGGACTTTACTCATAGTTTACCAATGGCACCATATAAAAGCACTTCATGATCTGTAATTTCACAAAAATGACATCTATAATGTATATCCATAAAACTTTAATTAGGCTTGATGCGTCATCGTGTTGCCTAGCAACCACATAACAAAAGACTAAACAGTCCTGTAGCGTGGTCATGTACTAGTATTCATATCATACTCTTTATAAAACACGGAGACTATTAGTTCTAATATAATTAATGCATCCTTGCATTTCTGTCCACATTTGTCTCATGGTTTAAATTAAAATTAAAAGCGTAGATAGAACATAAACAGTTATTTTGTCTTTTGTACTCAGGACAGCAGTTTGTGTAACTGTAAAAAAGAAGATGGAAACTGATGAAGTCCTGAGAGACTAGAAAATTGAGTACTTAATGTGTGATTTAAAAGGAAATGGCTATTTTTCCATTTTGTGTTTTCCCTCCTGACTTTTTCATTTAAGTCTGAATAATTCTTGACGACTTTATGCGTTTACACTTAATGACTTAATTTTATGCTCTCTGCAGGAGCTGCACTGGGTCCTCTGCTGGCCGGTGTGATCTCACCAACTGGCTGGAACAACGTCTTCTACATGCTCATCTCTGCTGACGTCTTAGCCTGCCTGGTCAGAGAGCAATCTTTATCTGTTCACTCACATGGAATAAACTTGTTCCTTTTTAATGCAAATGCCAACCAGTTAATTTAAGGGTTGTTGTGGTGGTTCATCCTAAATTTATTATTGTGTCAGCATAAAACCGCTGATGCAAATGTATACGAGAAAACGATATTAAACATTGTACACTCACTGGCCACTTTGTTAGGTACACCTGTTCAGCTGCTTATTAAGGCAAATATCTAATGAGCCAATCACACAGCAGCAACTCGAGCATCACAAACATAAACGTGGTTGTTACCAATGTGTGCCTACTAAAGTGGGTGAGTGTAACACAACAAAGACAACAAAATTGACAGCTAAAGTTACCAAACAAACAAAATTACAACCTTACAAACAAATTTAGTAATTCATTCATTTAACAAAGAAATAACGTGCAGTGGGCAGGATGAATCAACAGTGTTCACATTGAAAACATAAGCAGACTGGTGTGAGGTAGCAAAACAAAGCATGTCTGAAATGAAAAGGTAACTTATTCCAGTTGGAAGGTTTTTTAACAGCTTTCTTTGGTACAAAATGGACATTAAAGAAAAACTGCTCAGAACTTCTTATATAGTATATCTATATAGTTTACTTTAAAAATAAATTGGCACCGGTGAAACTGGCGTCTTGAATAAAGGAGCCAGCTGAGTCTGTGAAACATCTGAACATACAATTCTGCGGTTATATTTACCACAAACATGGTACCAGTCTCATGTCATAATAGTCCATTATTGGCAATGTAAGTTACATGACGAGTCTTTGTGTAACATTACTGGTATGTAACTGGTGCAATGCAGAATATCGGTGCCTAAGTCGAGATGTTGCCGACGCGAAGCTAACCTCAATTCACTTGATTTATGTTGAGAAAAGGAGCAAACAATAGTTTGCCAATGCTGTCCTGTGGACCTTTATTTCACTAAGCTCCACATGGATCCTTTTTTATTCCTAATGATTTTTAAATATTGTGGTTTGTGAGTATGCCAGAGAACTTATGAGAACCACTCAAACCCCCAACTGACACTTCTTTTGTTTGGCTCCAGTTTTTGTCCAGGCTTGTTTACAAGGAAGCTCAGAGATGGTGTGGGTGTGGACCCAGAGCCAGAGGGTGAGTATCATCGTCAACGCCACTGTCTCTTTTTTCGACCTTTACCTTCTTTGTTTACATTCATTTCGGGGAACCCTAGAGATTAAGTAAGCCAATACAGAAAAGACTGATGTTTAAATATGTTTAACACAGCCGGTAAAAATGGAACACAATAGGAAGGCTTTTTACAAAAAAGCCTCAGTTTCTCTAGAGGTTGCATGAAAAGAAGGATGCCTGTGCATTAAAAAGGGAGCTGGGGAAATGTATTAGGATTGTTAATATAATAACTGGAAGCAGGTGGAAGCCATTAGCCTGGCTCTTCCCTGAGGCAACAAAATACACTTTTGAGAAAAAGTAAAGCACAGGAATTAGTTATATTGTGCTAGTTTAATCCAACCCTGAAGTAATTTGTTTTCCTCTGTAAACCTGAACACATCTGCACAGTAATCCAGATTAGGTGTTTTATTATAAACATGAGTCATTTATTCTTCAGAATATACTCACAGAATGAAATGAAATAATCTGAAATCAGTGCATCTCTGTTGTTTGCTGATAAGCTAACAGTGTAGCATATGATTATAGTATCGGTTTTTCTGATCAGCCTCTACCTGCAGGAATTTTGTCATCCTCTAAACTAACTGTGACTTTTTATTGCAGGTTCAATGAGCTCTGAAATCAAAGTGAAAACCAAAACACACAAAGGGAGGAAACAATGATGAAACTGACCTCACCGTACAACCAACTAACTCTTTTTTTTTTAACCTCCAACTTGGACAATCTTCTGCTGAGCTGATGATTGAAGCCTTCTAACTGTACGACAGTATGCTTCTATAAGGAGACAAATGTCTTTTTGAGGACTAATCCACTCATTCTTACTTGTTTTTAATGTTCTTTTAGCATTAAATGGTTTACACTGTTTTTTTTCTTATTGGGTCTTTTTTTTGTCTCCTTGGTGTTTGTGCCCTTTCAATGGCATTTTAGGCAAACAAGCTGGAACACTGGCTGAGTCAGAAACTGCTTCAGAGGGTTTTACATGCAGTAGAAAGTCACCGTGTAACTGAAAACTAAGTGTAAGGAACTAAGTAAGAAAGTTTTGTGATTTCAAATTTGGAAATTGGCTAACACTTTATAATGTGGCCGTGACTAACAGGGTTCGTGTAACATGCCACGTGTGTAGTCAGTACAATCAGTGGTGTGAAAGGAGAGAAGTGATACTGTAAATAATTTTAAATACTACAGGCATAAGTACACTGTAATACAATTTAAATTGTGAATAAGTAATTTTCTTTTTTTTTTTTCTTCTTTTTTTTCTTTTTTTTTCTCTTTTCTTTTTTCCGTTCTTTTTTTTTTTCTTTTTCTTTCTTTCTCTTTCTATGGAAACTGTAGAAGTTAATATTCACCTCAAAAACTAATTACCGCACCACTACCCAAGCCACAGCACGATGAACAGGAGTAGTGAGGTGTGCAGATCACTGCACACACAGCTCTTTTCCGTCTATTTCTGTTGGCATTTTCTCTGGGAATTGATTCAGAATTTGTACCTCAAAATCTTCCAAAACATGTCAGAAGCACAAGGAGTTGCCTGACTTGTTTAATTGTACAACAGATACATGTGTTTGGAAGCCAGATGGACCTTGAAGAACAGTCCAGATTCTCCTCAACAGACGTGAATAAGTAATTTTAAGTACTGTTTAACATTTTTCTTGATAATTTTGCAGAAAAACAAACAATATTTCTGTATGTTACATTGCAAATACGTTGTACTTTTCAGTGTTTTGGTCATATTATGAGCTGGTTTAACCTTCCAGAGCTTCCAGAAAATTAAAAATGACTTACCTACAAATACAATTTTATGTAATTTTAAGTAGCTAAGTAAGTAATATGACCCCAGCTACAAAAATACAGCGGAAACTATTGTGAAATATTGTGTTTTTGCCCCAAATAACATGAAATTGCACAATACTTAAATTACTAACAGTATAATTTGTGTCTCCTTTATTTTCTTGGAAGTTAGGCAAGGTCATGTCAATCTACGGCCCATAGTACGACGTACTTATGATGAAAGCTGGGGAATTATTGATTGTTTTTCCACAAAATTACCAAGAAATTAACTACACAGTAGTTTACTTGTAGTTAACTAAAGCTAGAGACTGTTGGATCAGATGGTTTTACCAGTCTTGCATGAGGCATGGGGTCACGAAGCTACTTCCCTGAAGCTTTTCATGTTAACTTTTTGAAGGAAGATTTTTTTAAGTTGAATAAAAATGCTGTCAGTTCTGCTGCTGTATGTGGTAGATTTAAACTAAAAGAGACGATCGGTTTCTAGTGTAGATTATTGAACAGCAAATAGAAAAATTATTATTTTTTCTTATATTGTTTCTTAACACTGTAAAGCTAAACTGCCGGAAATGCAAACTTCTTTTGAAACTTGAATGTTTATTAAGCCTCCTGACAAATAAAAAAAAGAAATTTGCACATGATTTTGCTACATCTGGCATTTCTGTGTAATATATTGCTTACAGTATGCATGTGTCTGATTGTATACGTCAGGCTTTTCAGGTGAAAAAAAGTCACACTGATGTAAAAGCCATGTATCAAATATGAATAACTTGACATTGCAGAGTTAAAGAATCAATACCATGAAGTGTTTTTAAACCACAATGGATGTGCCTCATTCACTGCCAGTTAAAAATAAATATTTGATTTTATAGGATTTCCTTACTCATGGGGATATATGAGGGTGGTGAATGACAGGAACATAAAAGCTGCAGCTGAGATGACGATGCCTGATGCCCTGAGGCAAAACTGGAAATCTGAGATTTTTAACAATCTGTGCAAATTATGGGATATTTAAGCCGGAGCTCAAACTGGAAATTTTCCGGTTTTTGGATGTTTGCATTTGGTGTTTAATTGGGAGGTTCAGATGTGGGTTACAGTAAGATTTCATGGAATTGAACACGTCAGTTGTTTATGCACACTCTGAGACTTGGGGAAACTTGAGTATAAGATATTAGACTGAGATATGGTCTAACTAAAGATATTACTGTGCGGTGGATGTGGGTGATTTTAATAATATGTTATTTATTTCTTTGTGTGAGTGCATATTTACCTCCTGCCTTGGAGAGAATAAATTAAAATTCAGTGCATCTCAAAAAATGTGAAATTTGAATTTCTTTTTTGGTAATTAATTATAAAAATAAACTGTTCAAAAGTCTTGAGTCACCCCTCACCACTTTATATTTTGTGTTCAAGAAACTAAAATGTCATTTTTAAAGTATCCTTGAAAGTGTTTCTTTGGACACTGTCTACTTTTCACTTATCAGTTAATCTATCAACTGAAGCCTCATCAGAAAAGGGCTCAGTGGCAACCTGTCTGATGGAAGGATGATTACAAATTTTAAACTTTTGGTTCAATTCTTCATCAGTGTGTGTGGAGGAGGTTGAGACACAGTGAGTGTGAAACATGGTGGAGGCTCTGCCATAGTGTTGGGCAACATCTTTGCCAGTGCTATTGGAGATCTTGTCAAAATTGATGGAATTATGAAATCAGATTTGGATCCCCCCACCATGTAATACCATATGGAAAACATTTGATTGGCAGCAACTTCATTTTTCAGCATGACAACGATCCTGAACACACTGCCAATGGTGGGTATGAAACACTGTCAGTCATGACAAAAATACCCCAACAACACAGAAGTTCAACCTCTTTTTATTGAAAGAAAGTAAATAAATGTTAATAAACATTCAGTATGAGGTAAATACAAACGATTCTCTGAGACTCAGAGGATCACACGTCACTGTTTCCATTTTCACCTTTACAGTGGTAGCTTCAGTTACATCAGTAAAAACATGACTCTGCTGTAACGTTACATAACATACAGTAAATATAGTGGCTGTTTTCATTTTATGGCTGAAGTTGGAGTTTGGTCCCACTGCAAAACTTTAACCCCGGACAAAAAATATACAATGGACACTCAAAAGAGAAACTGCAGAGAGGCAAACACAAGTGAACTGAGGACAGAGCAAGCTACGAGCTACAAAATAAAGAGAAACTCTGTCAACACTTGCTTAAGTGCTCCACTTCCAAACTAAAAACAAAACAAAAAAAAAGGTCTGGTGATATTTTATATTTTACAACTGTCAACAAACTGTCAACAAATCCCACAAAGACCCCAAAAACCAGCAATAAGCGTTGTGTGTAGTTCCTGTGATGCGATTCATGTCAGAGGGCGCATTGCAGGCAGTTTTGCTACTTTGATGTGATTTGTTAGTTATTTTCTTTAACTTGACTATAACAGGAAATGACAGCTTAGCTAAACACAGAAAGTGACAAGAAAGTGTCAGTATGAAACACTTACAGGTCGTAACCAAGTTCAAACATTCAGACTGCAGCTGTGTTAGTGTAGTGTGTTATGCATAGACGACATTTAAAACTGGGTATGTGCTAAATGCAGAGATCAGCCAGCTCTAAGCAGATCTGATTGGGCACGTAGTCCCCGCTGTTGCCTCCACAATGAATACAAAACACAGTGTGGAGGCAAAACACAATGATGGTGTTTCTCAGCCATTAGCTGAGTATCTTTTTAATATAGCCCTAAACCAACAGAGTTTAGTAGCTGAGAAACTCCCGCACTGTGCTCTGCAATGACCTGCAGAACAGTCAAAGCTGCAAAGTTATGCAAAAGAAGCAGGCATTCTCGAGAAGAGCTATAGGACACAATGGAGAGCAGTGTGATCCAGACACACGTTATTCTAACTAATCTGTTTGAAATATAAAAGAGCCTTTTACGTATGAATTATGATACAAAGGAGATTTGTTTATTTCTCTGGAAAACTTGAGTGTTAAATGGCACAAAAAATCCCCATCAGTTATTATTTCAGGATGTAGGTAATGTAACTGCTAGGATTCACTGAGTTGCCTGCAAAAGGGTCTAAAACGGTTTGAAGAAACCTCCACATCTGCCATAAAACTCAATATCCATAAAAGTGTCTAACACATATGTGATTTGTTAACGAACCGTGCAAATAGCCCATTCAGAGCTTTGATAAGAGCCAGATGGCATGATGAAATTCAAATTATGGTTCAAAGTTTCATCTGTAATGAGCTTGACACAGGGCATGGCATTTCTGTTTGTTTTAATACGTGTTTTTTAACTGAAATAAAGTCGTTTCATGTGACATGTCCAGATCTTATTCAGGTACAGCGAGAGTACAGTGTTGAATAAAAGTAGTAAGTTGCAGCACTAACAAACATACATGAAACCTGTAAAATCCCTAAAAACACCCTGAAATCAACACTAAATACAATATAAACATTAAAAAAACAACAGATGAGAGGAGAAAGATGGCATTATAAACAGGTTGATACGCAATATAAATTATTTTAAGTGGTGGCAGTTACAGGCTCAGACAGGACGTTTCCCTCCATTGTTTAGGATATTTGTGTGTGTGTGATTTGTGTGTGTGTTCTTCATATTTGCAACTGAATAAAGAGTCACTTGAACACAAATCAAACAGCTGAAGGCTGTTGGGACTTGCATGAGCAATGAAGTGAGTGTTGACAGAAGAGTGGTGGCACGCAGTCCTCTGCTTGTGCTGCTCCCGCTTCTTTGTCTCATGTGTCCGTGTGAGCTTTCACCTGTAGCTGTAACCATGTGTGTTACGGGACAATGAGCGACTCCATGCATCCTTCTAGAAGAAAACTACCTTCAAAAACTTCATGTCATACAGTTTTTCAGTGGTGATATGTGGGATGGTTCCATGTGCGGTACCATGACCTGAAAGACCAGAGGGAAGATCGCAAGCTCTTAGGCAAATGTCTTTAAAAAGTACAGGAAACAATTCTGATAAATTAAAAAAAAAAGGTCCACAGTTTTATTTTTAATATTGGCATTTAAATCTGTATATGTAAAAAAGAGCAGAACTAATGAAAGGAAGCCATGCTATTCTAAATATACATATGTTGTCCTTCATTTTTGGACCTATTTTTAAACCTGAACTCATCTTAATAGCTCATCAGTCAAGGGGAAAACCTACAAGCGCAGTGTTTTTCCACATACATATATAGATACAGAAAATCAAGCTCCACAAGCAAATCATCTGAAGAATAAACTGAATAAATTAATACACAAACAAGGAAACTGTCATGGTCTCCGACTCTTCCTTGTGAGTTATTTGTTTCGAGTTTTGTATTTCACTTATTACAGTGTTTCCTGGTTTGTTCCTTTACATTTATATTCTGAGGTTTTGCTTTTCATCATGACTTCAGTTTGGCTTGTGTTTTATTCCTTGAATCTCAGTGTCTTGTTTTAGATTTTACTTCCCTTGTCTTGTTTTCTCACTTAGGTTCAGCTGTCATGTGTGTATCCACTCCCCTTGTCACCTCGTGTGTGTTTATAACTTCAGTGTTCCTATTTCCCTTTGTTGTGTCCTCTCTCTCGGCTGTCTGCTCTGCCATTGTTTTTTTCTATTTTTGTAAGACTTCAGCATTAAAGCAGTTCTTCCGTTTATGTTCCATCCCCGAATCTTTCATGGTGTGTCCATATCCTGCCTGGCACACAGCCGATTTATGAGGAAATACTTCCTAGGCTTGCGTAATAATCAGAGTTTTGACAATACGTCTGAGTGTGTTGCAAAAGAGTGCTGAAAAGTCTTAAACAAAAACAACAATGCCACTTTTTCATATCTGTTAAACTCCTGCACATAATCCATCTCAAATACCCTTTTTGTCTGAGCTAACTGCTTATTGGCTTTAGTTTTATTTTTATTGGAAGTGGCATCACTCTCCTCATTTAACTTGTGCCAATAAAATTACAAACTGCTCATTTAAATTTCAAATGACAGACGTTATTTAAGTGCTGACAGATTGGATATCTAAGCAAATTAATTATTTTTTCAGTTTCTGAGGAAAAGTTAAACAAACAGTTTCCATTGTTTTTGGAGTAGATGTGAAGCAGCCAGTTATTGATAACGGCTTGTGAAACACTCTCTCCATGGTAACAACGTCCTGAACTGACATCCTAAAACTAATATTGATGCTGGAGTGAAGGGAAAAATATCTTTTACAGAAAAACGGGATGTCTGTGTGACTCTTTCTTACCCTGACGTGCTGTAGGAAGCTGCACTGACTGGAGAGGTTAGAGAGGTGGAGGCTGCAGACAGACCGTTGGGAGATGCCTCACGGCTCATACTATTTGGGGATGAACTTGAAGAAACTGTAAAAACAAGGTTAAAATATTATTTAACATGTACGCATATACAGATGATTACTGTATACACATGACAGTGAAAGGCACATTATTGAAGCTGGATGGGACTTGCCTCCACCTGAAGCCAGAGGGCTGTAGGACCTGGATGCAGAGGCCTGAAACAATAAAATGGATGTTAGGATGGTTAAACATACTGGCATTACAAAGAGCAGGTTATAGGTAACCCTCTAATATATCTACCAATCCTCTTGGGAGGCGTTTAAAGTGCTTGGCTCAAAGAAAAGACCAACTTAAGACCTGTTTACTTTGCGTGGCTAACAACTTACACACTATACTTGGACTTTTATAATTAAAGATAATTAAACATTTCCTCTCTGCAGACATAAGAGTGCTCTGCCACCTAAGTCAAAGAAAGCATATATCAGATGGCTAACCATCCTGGAGTTGTAGGTGTGAGACTTGACAGGTAGAGTTGATGTCGGGCAGTAGATCCTCTTCTCCTTCTGGCGACGGTTACAGAACCAAACTCGAACCACCTCCTTCTCCATGGACAGCTGCTCTGAGATCAGGGTTATCTCCTCAGAGTTGGGCTTAGGGTTCTGAAATTCAAAAATATGCATGATTTTGACCTTGTAATTTTGCACAGGAGGTGCATAACGTTGATATCTGCCTGACAAACAATGAGTGTTCAAGGTTATTGAATGAGCACCGTATTAAGCAATGATAAAAGAAAATTACTTGGTCGTCACTAAAAGGATTCTAAAACTCAATCAAATTAAAATTAAATTGTAAATAAAAATCAAATATAAAAGCAGATGAGAGTTAGGTCCACACGGGGGATGTTCTTGACTGAGAGGCCCATCTCAAAACTGCAGCCGATGGTAGTTGGACATTTGCATAAACTAGAACGCCTGCACGGCAGCAGAGGGAACAAAGAGTGGAGGCTGAAGGCCAACTGTCAGGACTATCCTATTAATTTCTTTGTCTTCATGGATTCAGCCAGCTCATGTCTACAGTCATCCACCATCTTAACATTCCCGATGTACCTCTTTTCTTACCTTCCCTCCCACAATACAAGTCCTCTAGTTGTTTGTTTGCATCATACTGTGTTTTACTAACCCAAGTTTTAGATATCTCCTTCTACAGGACAGATTTTTCCAGGTTTTCTTCATTAACGTGTAACGCTTATTCAGTTATAAAGGATTTCACCATGCTCACCATGAAAACAAGACAAGTAATGAATGAGTCTTACATCCAGGAAACGTTTCTCCAGAGTCATTTTGATGTTGGTTTCAATGCTCGTCCTCTTTTTCCGTTTGCGCCCGTAGCCCTCCATCAGGGCCGGCAGAGAGCTGGAATTGCTCATCGAGTCAGAAGGTGAGTTCTCTGATGTAAAAAATGAGATTCTTAGATTTTATAACATATTTTGTGTCCCAGTGTTAGTATTTTACATATTCAACATTTCTGAGAAGATGATATCTGATGGGTTTAGTTGTAGCAGACATTTTTGTAAATCCACGGGTGTGATTAACAACATCAGCCATATCTGCATTCCTTAGTGTTAAATCCAGACTTCTTATGTCTGCATGTTAGCTCATGTAATGACTGATCAGGCGTTTCATATTTTATTAGGGCCAATTCAGGTATAAATAGCAAAAATAAAATAGTGCTTCACCCTGTAAAGCCTGGACTGCGAAATGATAGCCAGAAAATTGAATATTTATTGAATCTTCTGATAATTAAAAAAAAACAAAAACATTAATTTGCTTACATGAGTTTAATTTGCCACATTTGCTCCATGCAGCATCCTGCATTTTTTACAATTTATTTATTGCTCAAAAATATACTGCTCAATTTATTTAGATTTAGAAAACACACATTTTAGAAATCTAACTAAAATGTGTTAAAAACTAAAAATTATATTGCTATTTATACAGGCAAAAAACTCACGTTACATGTTACTCACACCCAAATTTGAGGATGTCACTAAGAAGTCACGAATTAATCAAGCATAACATTCAACCACTAAAACTAATGATTCTATTCATGAAGGAAGAAGGTAAATAAGTGTAGTTTAGCATCTTAATAAAAATAAAAATAGAATTGTGATTTACTATTTTTCTGTTTTTTAAAACAGTAGATTCATGAATCAAAGCAATAATTATATTTTAGCATTACAAATATCATCTTGATTAAAAAGCTTGCACGTACGGGTGGATTAACAGTTATAATTAACAGTTAAACATTTTTTTACTGTGCAGATTTTCAGATCCTGATTTTCTGTGATCAGCAGTGGCTGTACTATATGAACGAATGCTCGTGAAAATAGGTGAAAAAACTTGTTGTGATGAGGAAGAACAGTTTGTTACAATTTTAATGGTAGTATAGGAAACATAATAAGAGTTGCTGCGTACCGGCATCGCTCAGCCATTTCTCCAGCAGAGGTTTGAGTTTGCACATGTTTTTGAAGCTCAGGTTCAGGGCCTCAAATCGAGAGATTGTGGTCTGGCTGAAGTCATTCCCGTAGAGTTTTCCCATTGCAAGGCCAACATCTCCCTGTGAGTACAAACACAACAGAACACAAAACATTGATGGATCTCTCATGCAAAAGCAATTCAATCAGCAAATCGTGGTTTTTAAGCCATGAGACCACCGTTTGTGTTTGATTTCCACCTACAATTGGTTTTGCTTATTTTTTCCCCAACTTCCATCTTTTTTGACTTTCATGGGAACTTGCTAGATAGCTTTAGTTACTACTAATTACAACTGTTTACATTTAGGGATCAACCAAGGCCTGCAATGCAGAAACGATCCCTTTGCCAAACTAGCTGTCCTTTGCTAAATAAGTTTCATCACTATTCGGATACAACTTCTTAGTTGGACTTATGCACTATGAACTTCGTCATTAAATTTTTGTACTAAAAACTGCTTGGTTAGGTTTAGAAACTGTGAAAAATGGTCATTACATTTGGATCTGTAGCTTTTTTCTTTAAAGTTCTTTAAACTGTTTTTATAAGGCTATAAAATCAATTAATGAGATTTAACAGGTAACACTAGACTATAAAGAGGCATTGGCTGAATTATTAGTTGTAGCTTTTAAATAAAAAATAAATAAATAAAACTGTATAGGACTTGCAGGGGGTTATGCAAGACCTGGTGTACTGGCGAATTTGTAAATACTCTGTCAGAAACGATCCATCCGCCCCTCTATTTTCTCATGCAAGGTTTATGGAAATTCCCTTGAAGCAAACCAGCAATATTGAATAAACACTTAGTGGTGCCAGAGTCTTGTTTTACTCTTCTGGAACTGATTGTCGTTTATCTACATGAACTTGAATCCCTCCCAAATGACTTGTGGTTATGAAATCATGAGGGTGGACATGTGGCCTTCTTTGCCCTCTTTTTTAACCTGCTTAACTGTGACCATATATGTTTTTATTATTATTATTATTATTATTATTATTATTATTATTATTATTATTATTATTATTATTATTATTAAGTATCCAAGCAAAAGCAGTAACAAATCTGTAAGATATAGGCTAATTACTTAAAGATAAAGGTGAAGCTAGATACAGTATAAACCTAAATCATGGAATGACTGGTGGATTATGGGCTAGGATAGGCTCCAGCCTCCTAATTTCTAATTATAAGATTATGTAAACATGGTCTTAAAAAGAATCAGGACTCTGATGCATAACTGAATAAATTAAGCGTGGTCACCACAGGCCAAAACCACACAACTACCATCTGGTTTTCATGAGCATGTTGCAACACCCAGAATCTTGTGTAACTTTCTCTATATTTTTTGCAGCATAAAAAGAGAAAACAGTCAATGCACTGAGTGAATACAGTCTTTCAGGTCTTTTTATAGGGCCTGATTTACCTGAGTGAAACCCAGTTTGATCCGTCTTTGTTTGAATGCCTTAGCAAACTGCTCCAGATCCTCCAGCTCGTTAGGTTCCTCCTGTGGAGGCACCGACATGTGTTTGGGCATCTGCAGGTGGGACATGTCCATGTGGTTCTCCATGGAAGGTCCAGCCAGACCCGAGCGACCCATAGCCTGGATCAGAGAAACATCACAGAGGGAAATCTTCAGTTTCCAGGTGATGTAAGGTAAAAAAAAACAAACAACACAAGTTTTTACTGTACTGAGACAAAAAACGACTGTTATGCATATGCAGGACAAAAGCTTCAACTTCGGCTTTTACTGTCTAGTTTCTTGGCAGGATCATAGATGTCGCTTTCTGGGCTGAACAGTGAAGCCAGCTGAGGTGCCTTCAACTCACATTCTGTTTAATGGCCAGCAGGGGGCGACTTCTCTGGAGTTGCTATGAGTTTAATGGACTTAGGACTGTTGAGAAGTCTGTGGAAAAACAGTCCTTTGCAACCCTCATTAAACACTTTCCTGATGACTTTCTGTGATTGGTAACTACTTCCAGGCCACGATAAATAAAACATGTTCATTTTGTAAATTATGATCATTCTAAGAGTCAGAAAGGAGGATTATCCTTTGTAGTAACTGTTCCCCTTTATTATATATCTAAACTTAATTAAACAACTGTCTTCTTTTGCTTTCTGAACCTCCGTTTGGCAGTGTATCTTAGTGCATTATTAGTTTGCTCTGTTTTAGGTTAAGATGTGAAGCCTGTATACAAATTTCTGACTATTTAGAGTCTCCTCTCTACTGGAAATACTGGTCAAATTAAGGATGATTCCTTAGACAGAGTGTGCAAAATGCAGAACATTTGACTTGGCTTGCTGTGAATTCACTGACTCATTTTTCTCCCAATTTAAAAGCAACACTATCCCTGAAGATTATACAAGGTTAGGTAAAGACAACACAAAATAAGCTCAATAGTGAAATAATGTATTGTTCTAAAGAGCATACTGAATTCAATCATGGTGCTGTAAGAGGATGCCACCAGTGGAACAAGTCAGTTTGTGAAATTTCCTCCCACTTAGATATTCTGCGATAAACTGTAAGTGGCACTATTACAAAGTGGAAACGTTCAGAAGTCAGCCGTCAAGTGGCGACCACGTAAAGTTACAGAGCAGGGTCACTGGGTCACCAATGCTCTGCTGATTCAGTAACTGCAGAGCTCCGAACATCCTCTGGCATTAACATCAGCACAAAAACTGTGCGCCGGGAGCTTCATGGCATGAATCCTTAAAATGTCATCATGTTGTTTGATAGGTGGCTGGTCAAAACAATTGATCATATCACATGAAAGGTCTCCTTTTTACCTACATATTGATAAAAGGCTCATTTTCCAGCTGTGATTCCTTCTGCATCAATGTAAATGTCTAATATAGCCTTAATTTAACATATGCAAATCTAACTTAAGGTTGTGAAATAGAGAAACATCACCGGTGTTCACATTTGCTTTATGACAGCTTGGATCAAACATGTTTAGATGCTGGAGAAGTTTGTGATGCGCTGGCGCACGCAGGAGGAAGTGGAAGATTTTCATAGATTGAAATGATTACTTTTCAATAAATATCTCAAGTTTAAAAAAAAAGAGTTATAAGTAGATGTTTTTTTTCCTTTGAAGCTTTGAAGACATAGCTTGAGAGTGGGTAGCGTGTGTTAAAGGAGAATACCATTGTTTTAATTTTTTAATTTATTATTTTTTCCACATTCCAGATACCTCGGAAACCGGATGTTGGAGGTGGGAGTGACGTAATTCCTGAGTTGTTCCAGTAGTAAAGTTATGTTATACTTTTATTTCTTGTGTTTTACTGTGACGCACTTTACGAATTTCATCTGTGAAAATGGCTATATAAATTAATTTGACATATTTAAACTCAGCTAAGTAAGCTGTAGCAATTTATGTAGCACTAGTAGTTTTTTATTGGTGCTTAAACACAATGCTGCCCCATGTTCATGTGCAGATCCTGGTCAGCACTCTTTATATGGTTTATTTTGCAAGTTACAAATATACAACAAAGGAAGGACAGATTACAAGTTTTGCAGTTTTATTATGTTTACATTCACCGCCACCATCTTGGACCATTAATGTGAGATTAGTGAGGCTGCTACAACTTTCCAAGTTGGGACTCCAAGTTGCAGATGAAAATTCTGACTTGGAACTTTGTTGGAAAATTCTATTTTTCGGACCTAACTTTGAAGGCATTGTAAAATTTTGCATGCCTTCAATCAACAGACCGACGTTACTAAACAATAAAAATTAGCTAAATCCGAGGAGGTGAGGTGGAAACATTTTTCAGATTTGATGATGTAAACTTTTTTTTTTTAAAGGTATTATGACTTCGATGTCTCCCAAACCTCAACAAAGTTGTCCGTTATCTAAAATTAGCCAAAGCTTAACCACAATTCATTTGTTTGTCAAATGTGCTTCCACAGAAATAAAGCAGTTTTACACCTGTAGTCTTATTGTCTGCCTCTGGTGCAGCACACTTGGAAGTGTTCTGGACTTACCTGTGGAGTCAGAGCCAGACCAGGCTGATGCTGAAGAAGACCAGTTGGGCTCTGGCTGGGAAGAGATAGCAGGTTCTGCTGCAGAAGGGCTGCAAAGAATAACAGCACAGAATAATAATATTACTGTTTGTGACTGTGTGTTTATATTTAAATATTTGACATAGCCTAAGTTGTCCACATAAGGCCAAGTAGGTAAACTGTTCTTGGTTTCAGCCATCTGTTAGATTTCGGATAAGCTTACAAGTCAGCTAAAATGCACGTGATGTTTGCTAGCAAACTTGATGCTTTTGCCGTTTTCGATCTTTTAAGCTGTAAGAGTATTTTGCTGTTGAACAATTTTAAAGAAAAAACAAGCCTATTTTTTTTTAAATGTTTGACTATTCTTTTAAGACATTTGTTTAACTTACTTTGCCTGGGTACGAAAGAAATTCTCCTGCAGGCTTGGTTTTATGCTTCTGTTTTTATACAAGCTTGATAGCAAGCTATAAAACAAGCTATGACACGTTAAGAGGTTGTTTTGTGGTAAGCTAACCAGCTGATGTGTAGATGTGGTGTGCAAAGTTGCTGTCTATTAAATGTCTGTTCTAATATGTAATGGTGCCTTTAACCCCTGAAAGGAAAGCACTGGTCTTAACTATTCCTAGAGCTGTGATCTGACTGGATGTTTTATGATACCTCACCTTGGTGACTGGAGGAACTCTGGGAGAGCAGGAAGGGGGAGGGAGATGGCAGGTGAGAAGGAGGCATCAGAACCAGCTGCTGCATGGGGTGGAGAGATGTGAGCTCCTGGAGCAGAAAGCACCACAAGAAAAATGAGTGAGAAGTAAATTAATAAGTCAATTAACTTTAATTTACTTGTACTTTATATTTAGATTTTTGTTGCTACTTTTTTCTGATGATTGTGTTAAAATAAAACACGAGATGAAGTAGTAAAAAAACTGCATTTGATTTCTTATTTGATCACTTACCTTACAAAAAGCAAAAACACAATTTAAAGAATAATGCTAATTACCAAAGCAATAAAATGTGCTGAAGTACTTTGATAATGACTATGGATTTCTAAAATGCAAAATATTGATCAAAAAGTTCACAAATTAAAAAAATATTTAAAAATTATACAAAATCATTAAAAATATACACGCAAAAGTAGGAATTTGCAGTATTAAAGTAAAAACATATTTTTTTGTCAGTTAATCACCTAAGAGCACAATGATTTTAGCATTTCTTAAAGTTTTCCTCCGCTCTAAGGTTTCTGTTAAAGCTGAAGATTTTTGTATTTATAGTAAAACTCTACACATCATTTAGAAACAGAGATTGCGTTACCATAATGGATACATAACTATGTAAGTACAATTCTCCTCTGTAGCTGGTTGAGACGGTACTAATCAATCAGTGTTGGGTTGTTTAATCTGTAATAGCACTTTGGTTTCATTAGTTTATAAATATCCAATATATGAAATAAAGGTAAAAGCAGAAAATAACGTTAGTTAACATGTTGTTTTCTAGGTAAGTAAAGTTCCTGCACTCTCAATACAGAACTGTTTCCAAATGAATGCATCTGCAATAACAATCAAATTAATATAAGAGTATGCCACTGATTCCCTGAGAGTTACTCTATAGTACTCCCTATAAGAAAATAAAATACACTCCCATTTTTAAATCTGAGTCTATATCTTACCCCAGTCAGCTGACCTCCGTGCACTGGAGAGCTCTGTGTCAGGTGGCATGTCTTTACGGTGGAGCCTGAATGAGGTGAGTCATGAATGTCCTCTGTTTTTATCTAAGACGTGGAAAACAAAGCCAAACAACACAATAAACTATTAACTTCTGATGAGGATATTAAAAACCGTTTCTCATACAGCTGTGTGAGACCCCTGTGGCACAGAGCCACCAGGCATGTGGAACCATGGGAGTGAACATAAGTGAATCTGACATCTAATCTCATTTTAACGGAATTTAAATTCTTTATTTAATTGTTTCTGGCCAACAAAAACACGTAAGTTGGGTTTGTGAATAATTTCAATCAAAAAGAAGCCTTGCTAGAAAAAGTTTAGCAACCACTGGTGTAGAGACAGACCACATAAACAGAAAACCTGTGAACCCTTGCCAAGACCAGTTTGGTAACTAAACACGATACAAAGAACGATAGACTCTCTCTGCCTGCTTTTGGGTAAGTCAGTATGCAAATATCCCCTCCCCCACACCCCCCACTAACTAACCCCTGAGAGCGATGGCACTTCCTGAAAGCTCGAGAACTGAAAGACCTGTTTTCCTCTACCAGAGAGAACATTTGGAGAAGTATCCAAACAGCCGCAGACTGTTTCAAAAGAGATTACAGTAATATTCACATTGGCGAGCAGGCAGATTTTCCTGAGGATGTTAACTGTCAAAAAGTTAGTCAGTTCAGCACCGTTCCCATGCCTGTAGGATATTTATTTTGCAAATGAGCCTTGTTATTTAGAGTGTCAAAGGTTACAGAAAGTTATACAGTTTTCCTATCATCAGCAAACTTGTTTAAGACCAAAACTGTCTATATCTATGTCTAAATCTACCATTTACTCGTTTGAGTGACATTTGCTAAAAGAATAAGCAAAAGGGAAATTTTCAAATAACTAACAATCACCAATCATTTTTTATTTCTTCTGTCTACTCCTAAAGCTCAGGTCAGTCAGCTTTTGTTCCAAAAAGTGACGACAACAGTCTGGGAATCAGTAATGTGGGAAATTATTGACTTTTGGCTCTGTATCTTGGGTCTGTAAGTAGTGTTGCTTTTCCCAAACCACAGAGTTTGGGAACAAAGTCAATAACAGCACAGCAAATGTTATTTTTTCACCACTGAAGATATGTCCCAAAATGCTAAAAACCTACAATGTCAAGCTGGACTGTGGTGCTGCAGAGAGCAGCTGTTAATATGCAAATATTAGAAAATACTTAATCATCCAAAGCAGTATAGTAATAATAATAACAATATCATGATCCTGGAGATTGAGTTTAATCTTTGCTCCCTCTTGATGCTCTAACCTGTTATCCACTCCCTGCTACTCTCAGTCAGACGTTACAGGCGCTCTTCAGTTATTTGTTTAGCATATGTATGTGTTGTTTGAGTAAATGTGTGCATGTCAATAATGTGAATCTGATCCATGTTTGTCCTTAAAAGGCACCAGTGAGCTTCACACACACATCGTAGTTTAAAGCCGTTACTGTATTTAAAGCAATACAAGTCATGCTGCTGATAACAGAGAGCTTGTTCGTGGAAATTTCAGCACAGGGAGTGATATCGTGAGCGCTCCTACTCACCTGACGACTGAAGTCGATTCCGTTTCGCTCTGAAAGTCAAAACAGAAAAAAATGAATAATTCAGACTTAATCAAACTTTGATTTGTGACAAACTTTTGTTTTAAATTAACGTGAAATAATGCTGTTAAATAAAGGAGTTTCTGTGGCAGTCGTACAAGTTGAACAGTTTAAAGCTACACAAACCTGCGTAATGTAAATGAATTGTATAATTTTAAATGCAAAGCAACAATGGGACTGCATGCAGCAAAAGCAGATTTGGAGTTAGGTTAAATGTATCGGTATGAGGCTGTAGGGTTAGCTTTTTATGATGCAACAACATCAGATATTTCAGGTTTTTATAAAGTGAGAATTTGCTGCTGAAGAAAATATCACTTTTGAGGGTTGACTTTCTTGACTTTAAGATGTTGAAGAAAAATGTCAGGACATTGTCTGCAGTTGCCCTTCCTCACGTGTGACACACAGCACGACGTGACATCCACTTCAGACCTGTTCCTGGGTAGAGCAGCAGGAAGGAACCGTGGCGCTCACTCACCTGCTGCACACTCACAGGACAACTGCTTGCTATGTTCTCACGCTGGTGAGAATATTAAAGACTGTTTAAAGTACACGCCGCTACATCACACATTTATGTTCTCACAAGAAACTTTAGGACTTCAGTGCAAGTGTGAAGACATCATAAGTCAGACAATACAACTTGAAGGAATCAGTTTGGTAGCATGTATGTACGCATTTAACTGTTTTTATTGTATTTCTAAAGTTTTCTAAACTAAACAACCAACTTAATGATAATAAAATTGGCACCTTGTTAAATGATATTGAAAGAAAACTAATTTAGATTTTTAATTTTTAATTTTTTGCTTAATATTCATTATTTTATCTCATATTTAAATGGTTTAAATGGTGTTTAAGTATCTAGATGCCCCCTCTTCACACAGATGCTCAGAAGTCTGAAGTCTTTTCAAGAAAACTCACTTTTAAACGTATGTTAAATGGACAGAGAGCGATCTCACAGGGGAGGAGAGCACAGAGGTGTGCTGGATAAATTCACATCATTTGAATGTCAAATTTATCCCTCTGCACTGCGTGTGTGCGCGCACTGGGGAAAAGAGAGGCAGTGAGCTGCTGGAGACACACAATGCAAATACACCCATAACTCCTCACCACCATCACTATGTCACCCACTCCCAACCAGACCTCCTCCCCCATGGCACAGCCAGCTTCACAGCCTAGGTTCCAGTATGGAAATGACCAAGACATGCAAATCAGCTGTGAGCGCAGGAAGCCTGTGTCTACGCACACACGTAGATACTCGATGTTTGCAAACCGTGCATTGACACAAAAAGTCACGCACACTAAAAGAAGAAAAAAAGTTTCATCTGTTACATCTGTTAGTCCTTAAACAATGAACAGAATCCAGCTAAGATATTACAAACTTCACAGGGAGCACATGGGACAATATAAACTCTACTCATTTGAATATTTGATATATTATATATAGAGAGAGGTTTCCCACCTCCTCCTCCTTACATTCTTAACACTATGAATAATCTGCTGGTCCAGAAGCAGTGATGTGTTAGCTCATCTGAAAATACTTCTCTACCCTGGCTCTGGCCCAAATGAAGAGAAGGCTTTAAAAATAAGTGACATGTTCACAGTTTCATATTCTAAAACAGGCGCTGTTACTCAAACACAAGTACACAGTGCACCTTTTGGGGACTATTTTTATGCACAAATAGCACAAATCATGTTGCTTTGGTGAGTATTTGTGGCAATATGTTGACAGAAACAAACTATTGTTGTATTTTAAATATCTGACAGTTAATGAATGTGTTCATTGTTGATTTTTGGTCTTTCAGATAAGAAAAGCATACATATTTGAGTATCATCAGCTGTTGCCTAACTCTCCAAATGACCTAAAAATCTGCTTATAGTCACAAGTTCACATGTGAAGCATGGACAAAGTGTTCTAACAATAATCAGTCACTCTGATTTTCCCTGTTTTCCTATCAGCAAACTAATTTGCTCCACCTGCACTGTCTCCATAATGAAGCCCTGTAAAATCATGGCATCAAAAAAGCCTAAATATGGAGCTCTGGTCAGCAAATTGCAGGGAAGGAGTTATGATAGCATTGGGCATAAACAGGAAAGACAAGTTATGATTATTAGTTACCAAACAGTTGGAAAGGACAGCAATTAAATAAACCTTTTCCTGCTCCTTTTTGAACATGTTAACTTATTTGAGAGATATAGTTAATGAGATATAGTTAGGTCCATATATGTTTGGATACACCCACACGATTATTTTACCTTTTTAGCAAAGCACATTTTGAATGTTTTGGATATATGTTGATTGTACTTTCATCTGTCCAATAGTGCTGTTTCAGAGATGCTCTGGCATTTTAGATTCGTTGTGCCATTGGATGGAAGTTCTGACAGTTTTTCTTGACAGTGGAAAGGATCCTGTGATCATCCATTACTTCTGTGGCTTGTGCTTCAAGGCCTTTTAATGATGCACATGTGCCTTATTTTTTCTTTTTTTCTTTTGCAGTCCAAATATACCTTTTTTTTTTTTTTAGAACTGCTTTGACAAGTGTGACTTCACATGGGCCCACATGCAATACACCTTTACCTACTTAATTTAAAAAATGTTTTTAAATTGAAACTAAATTAATTTAAAAACAAATAATCACACTCCATGCCCATGAAAAAACCCTTTACAATTATAGACCAAAGAGCATAAGATCATGTTATTTATATTCCTGTGACTTATATACATTTTTGTAAACACAATTCCCCCTCCTGGCACACCTGGTCAAATATTCGTCAAGCTTCAGTGTTTTTCACCTTGCCCTGCCCCTTTGCTCCTCACCCAAGCTCCATGTAAACTCCAAAGCTGGCTCTTGTAGCGTTTTTGCTTTTCTGTTTTCATTTTCCTTAGAATTTCTTCAACTCTCTTCTTATGGTTTTCATGGCTCCTCTCTTTATTAATCTTATCTAGTTATCAAATAGTTCTTCAACAAGTCTGAGTCCTGTGTTTCCCATGAGCCTGTTTCTCTGCATAGAACAACTGCAGTTTAAATGAAACTGGCTAAAACACAAGTGTTAAATGTTGCTACTATGTACAGTATTTTAACTAACAATAAATTAGCATTAAAAAAATGCCTGGCACACTGTGTTTCATAGTCTAGAATGTTATTGCAAGATATAGATTATGTATAGTAGTTGTCCTTTTAAAGTTAAAGATGCTGAAAAAATTGTTAAAGTCAATACTTTATCAGATATTTGCAGGAAAACTATATTTGCTTGATGCTTTTCAGTGAAACTGGGTGACATTTAAGGTTAAAAACGAGCAGCATTTCAGACATCTGGAAGACTTTGTTTTAAAGAAAGATAAACAAAGGAAAATGGCAATAATGTTCACTCCTTACTGGAACTGTGTCAGTGAGGAGTGTGGTTGTAAAACTGCATCCTCCCACTGATTCCTCTCTCTGATCCTGCAAGTCTCCAGAGAAGACCTTAACTTGTAAACGGATTTTTGTCCTGCCGTTAGCTCATAGTGTTTCCAGATGTTAGTACAAACAAAGCTAGTGAATGCAACATGACAATGTTTCAAATTTATACTGAATATCAAGTTTTGGTGTTCCAGAAATTTTGTTTAAAAGCAGCTGATTTCTTCTGACAAGAACAAGGAAATGTTTTATTAATCACACGTGCTGAGAGGCACGTGAAGCGCACCCGGCACCCAGTTTAAATGAAGTGAGCATGGGCTTAATTAAATTGGAAAAGTGGGGGAAAAAACACCAATGTTTTATTTCCTGTTTAATAGTACAAATATGAAAGAGGAGGTTATCGTCCTTTCACCGCAATCTTCTATTGTCTAATCACACCTGGATCTGATACAGGCAACAGCATCCACTGTCACAGGCCTGCACTGAAAATAAAAGTCGCCTCTGAACATAAGGAATGCATCCAGCGTGAAGGTAAACATTATTTCTTAGCAACAGGTTTGCAGTAAGTGAGCAGGTGCAGGTGCAGATCCTCCTGAGATAAGAACACTTCATATTCTGCCTTTTTTGCTTTCTAGTTTATCTCAAAGCGAGCAGTTTTCACATACAGATGAACTTTTCTAGACATTGCCAGACGAAGCTGTATACAAGAGCACACATTCCCATATCATGCTTTAAACAGTCTTTAACATCTCATCTCTCAAGTAGGAAGTCTGTTTGAAGTCCAGCTGTGTGAAAATTCATAGCATGCAAGAAGGTGCTGTATATGATGCCTCTTGAAAGCTGTACTCAAACTTGTGTTCCCGCGCCTAATGTAAATAGAGCATTTCCATCCAATAGTCCAAACATGTCTGTGGTGGATTCTGCCCTTTAAGAAAGGGCAACTTTGTCCCATCCTGATTCTCCTGACTATGAAGTTCACATAGGAAAAAAAAGAAAATCTAGTTGTATCTCTGTTAGCGTGCAGATACTTTTGATTTGTTTAGGTTTGTCTCTGAGATTGCTATCTGCACTCCACCTCAATGGGGCTTCTGTTTGCCCACAACACTGAAAACAATGTCAAAACCGTCAACAGCAATTTATTTCCAGAGAAAATGTCCCCATTTTTGTGTTTGTTGGGAAGAAGCACCTCTTAAAACACTCAGTTTCTGAGCGCTTGAGTGGAGGCTAAAATCCACTCGAAACATCCAGACAAATAGAAATATCTGCAGATACACCAATGTGTATTCACTAATTTGGTGACTCATCCATTTAAAATAGATCATCACATGACTAATGAAATGATTAGCTGCATCAAAATATCTTCTGTGGGGAAAACAAACGCAGCCGTGCACCTGACCATATGTTGGCAAAAGTACAGACATTTGTCACTTCCACGAAACTGAGCTGTTCACTTCTCTCGCACAGCTATTGTCTGAGTAAAAGTTCCACATTTTCTGCTGCTGCTGGTTCCTGGTTTTGTTTCGTGGCTGCTTGGCATCCTCAGCCCCTGGGCATCCTCAAGCGAAACCAACTGTCACATTTTCCCCACACAAATACACCTTTTCCAGACAGGTGCATGTTGCTTTTATAATGTTTTATGGCCATATTAAAGATCCTCACCTTTTTATAAAAAGTACCTAAAATTTCAGAATATTTTCGTTTAAAGAGATTTTAATAAGCTGTTGGCGCCATGTTAACATTAGATTAAATAAACCTGTAACTTTTCCACTATCTTTCCCCAAAGATAGCTGCAGTGGCCAAAACTACAGCTTTCTAGACTCCAAACTCCATCCGTGCACCATGAAGAAGGTAAAATATCCTTACCCGTCTGTTCACCTGGAGCCTCCGTGTGCTCTGCCGTGTCTGCGCTCATCTTAATATCTGTAATGATAAATATAGCTGATTTTCCTACAGGATTGTAACTTTACCAGGACAATGAAGCACTCAGGCCACCCAGGAAAATGATCTTGAGTTTATTCTAATGCGCCCTCCCCTCCACACCACCGCACAAACTTTACACACTCCTGTGTGATCCCTACTTGTAATATTCATAAGCAAGGCCGATAGCCCCATACAACACTCATCTCCATATGGCGTAACTCAAACTCAACTCGTGCGTTTAAAATGAAATAAAGATATTAAAATGTCATTGATGAACAGAGGTGTTGGAGTAGTGACTCACCTTGAGTTAAAAGCCTGTGCTGCTCCAGTTGCTGTCTCCTCCACTCTCTAAGTATTCAAAAGGAAGCAAGTGAATGTTGGAATAAGAAGTTTTGTAATTCTTACTGCTGCTCATCAGGATTTTCCTAAGTGGGAAAGCATTCACCTCAGCAGTACACCCTGCTGATGACTCTGGCTGATTTGCATATGTCTCTGTGCGACCTATCCAGCTTCAGACACTTTGCATAAAACAACAATGGGCTTGCTTTAAATTTTAGAGCATGCGTGTGTGTGTGTGTGTGTGTGAGTGCATGTGTGTACCAAAACCTCATGTGGAGTTATCCTTGTATGTTTTGAATAACTAAATGATATTTGTGTGATTCCTTCATGAAGGTATTAACTTGGCTGTCTTGAGAAAAAAAATATTTTCATATCATGCAACAAATACTAAAAATTGAATCATGCTGAAAAAAACAAATGTAATCTATAACAGCTGCAAAACTATAAGATAGAAACAAAATATGCCAAGGCTCCATGGACAAGAGACATTTGGGAGAGTACTGAAATGCAATAAATTTCACTGACCCTGTCACTACTCCAGAGTGAGATTTGAAAGCCCTCCAACAAATAATTCACCAAATCAAAACTGGAATAAGAGAATAAATGACACCCTTTTAAAAATGAGTCAGCAGTCAAGGAGCTGAAATTCAAAGAACATTAAAATATGTTGAGATAATGGGAACAGTTCTAGGCTGCAGGGCCTGCACAGTAGTTAGCAGCTGTGAGGATTAGGAGCTGGGCAGCTTGGAGCCGTGTTTACATCTGAAGGGGTCCTAGGCGCTAGGTGAGAAACAAGATTCCTGTGAATTAAAAAGTGCAGGGCTAGAGACAAAGGTGACTGTGGCATATCGCCTTGCCACTAGCTGGAAAATATAGAGTGTTTTTATGGTTATTTGAGACATCCAACATTTTAGTCATTTATTTATCCTAAGTTTATATTTACATTACTACATGAAAGTTAGGAACATCCCAAGTTATGAAAAGAAAGTACATCTATTTACATGTAATGTGGTATAGCACAATAGTGAGCAGGAAGAACTCCTTTTCAGCAGGACAAGACCTCAAGTACCATGCTCAGGAAGGGACAGACAAATAGCTGAAAGACAAGAGGAAGGAACACGGAAGGAAAAGAGAGGAGTGGAGGATAAACACTCAGTGCATCATGGGAAGTCTCCCAACAACTTAAGAGATGGTGAAGGGTTACCTTCTTTTCTACTGGATGCAGAAGAAAAAAATAATTTTTAGGCTGAATGAAATAAAATAAAAATGAAATTTTCATAGTTTTATTTTAGATGCTTATATGTTTTTTACTTTGCACAGAGACAAAATTCGTTTACAAAAATCAAAAACTACCAGGGTCAAAAATCATTAGGCCTCCTGATGCTAAGTGTCAGTTATGTATCCTTGCTGCTGGATAAGTCTCACACACGTCTCCTCAGCAATCCCAGCTCACACTTCGCTGATGAATCTCTGAAGGTCCTCTGGGTTTGGTGATCTGGCATGGTGCTTGGTCTTTAGTTCACCTCACAGATTTTTAATGGGATGCAGGTCAGGGCTTTGTGCAGGCTAGTGAGTTACATTCTTTTTGGTTTTCTGGAGGCACTTCTTCCATCGACGTATGCATGGGTTGTTGTTGTGTTGGAAGACAAAGTGATGACCCAGACTCAGTTTTTTTTTTATTGTGGACTGATTGACATTTTCTTTCAATTCTTCACGTCTTTTTTTCTTTATGATTCCTTCCACCCACTGGACTCCTCCCACCGTGTTTCACTGTTGGGACAGTGTTTGGGTTGTGCATCTCTCCCTTCTTTCTCCAAACATAAGCAGCATCTCTGTAGCCAAAGAGTTCTAGTTTTTTTTTCTTCATCTGACCAAAGTTCAGTTTGTATAATCTTTCTCTAGGTTGTCTTTAGCATACTTCAGTCTGGCTTGAAGGTGTCTCATCTGCAGAAGTGGAATTTTTCTTGGTCTACAAACTCGTGGTCCATAGCTGTGCAAGGGTCTAGTGATCATCTTCTTTGAGACTACCTCACTTGGCTAAGTTATTCAGTAGTGTCTTGGCACTTGTTCTGGGGTCTTTAGACACATCTCTTACTAGTTTTCTTTCCAAAGTCTTTGAAATCTTTCGCTTCCAAAGTCTGCCAGGTTTGATCTGTACTATTTTGCACTTTGTAATTTCTTGATAGTTCTCAAGAAATTCTGTCAGTTAATGTGTGCAAATAGAAGTTGTTTATGATTCTAAAGAAAACTAGTATGTTTAGAAATGCTGTTTCCCTCGGTTTAAAAAGAACTTGGGGAAATTTTGACAAAAACTAAACTAAACTGGGCTAAATTTCATGGGCGGATTTAATAACTTTGTTATTAAAGGCTCTACCTGTCATTCTACTTTTAGGAATCATGAATAAGTCTTGGACCTGAGAGCATTAGAGGACATGCAGTGTATTTTCATCAAGGAGCACAACACAATATCAGTTTGTCAAATGCCCTCTACTGCAAGTATAGACATTTGTGCAGCAATATTAATGTCTACCACCAAAGGATGACATTCCTATTTTAACTCTTTTGCACATGGATTTCTATTAGAGTTGTTGTCAATTGTTATGTTGTTACAATAAGAGGTCTGAGACCATAGTTGCTGGGCTGTTCATGCTTCGCTCTTCATGCTTTGCACTTTGTTTATCTTTTTTTCCCCCTTTTTACTTTTGCTTTCACTTGATAGTTACTTTTAAGCACTTAAACCTATTTGCCTGTGTATATATGCCAATAAAAGCAAAAATAAATAATTGAGAATGATTCATTGATCAATAATAATCACTTAGAAAACCCCAAATGAATTTAATGTAAGTTTAGTTTTAAAAAAAAAGCGGTTGAGTGGAACTTTTAGGAGGTAGTTGTTGTTCTTGGGAGTAGGATCGGGTAGGGAGTAGTATAACATATTATCATATGTTATTTTATTACTTCACTAATTTAATGTGTAGTATGAAGATTATAGTGCCCCCTACTGGAATATTGGCAGCTGAAGCATTACACAAACAGCAGTAGCATGGTGTTATACATCTATTAATATGTAATATGCAATATTAATATTCATATAGGACAATCTTTGTATAGTTATATGAAGATACTGTTGCTTGCTTTTCTCAAACCAGAATAAACAAATGTTATTATTGGTGTACTGGTTACCATTTGCATTTCTGTCCTATTCTCCACAAAATACGACAGTTGGATATTTCTTTACCTGTAGTGCTGTACAGGTGAAGATAGACAAAGAAAAAAAAACTCCCCATATGTTTTTCCCCTGAGCCAAAACTTAACTGATCTTGTGGGCCTAAGAGTAAACAACTGTTTTGCCTTAAGGAGTGCATGCATTTCTTCTTTATTTGCGCTTTCATGAAGTAACCTCATCATGTGTTTGACATCTTAAAAAAGCAAATAAGCAAATAAAGATAGTAGCTCGCTATTGTCTTCATCATCACACCAGTTTTGCTTTGAGTTTATTGGCTTAACTGTCAACAAAAAACAACCACACAGCAAAAAAAACAGAGGTTTTGGCAGTTTGCTGGTCTGCAGCATTCAAGTGTGTGTTAACACAGTGCCAAGCAAGAAAGACATCAGCAATCATCTTAAAGAAGCAAGTCTTGCTCCTCATCAGACGTCAGAAACTGCAAAAAGCTCAAGAGCTACATATCAGGCTCTCCAGCCCTCGATGAGCATGTTAAATGTTAAAAGTCATGACAGTACAATTAGAAAACTGAACACATGCGCCTTATTTGGAAAGGCTGCCATGGGAAAGCCTATGGATGACGATGAGATGAGAAAATGAAAAGAGTCAAGGTGTTGCAATAGCCCAGAGCCCATATTACAGTTTTTCTCCATTGGTTTGGCTCATTTCTTGAAACAGAAATTACATTCTCAAAATAACATGGACAAACCTCCAAACCTCTTGGCAAATGTTCACAACAGAATTGCATTTCTCATTCATTTTATCAAATGGCAAATGCCTTAGTACATGTCTCAGTTGTCTCAGTGCATCTTTGCAAATGATTAAGTACACGTAGCCTACAGTTATGCAGTTAGCCCACATTTAGCACATTTTCCAAATGAATAGATCTTGTAGATCTAAACTGATTAGTTGATTCTCAGTCTAATGATCATTCTCTCCAAAATATGTCAGCATGATTTCATTGTATAAGTACTCGCATGCACAACTGTCTGTTCAATTGTCA